TAATTTCTAGATTGCTGGGATATTCTTTCCCGAAATTTGCACGCGCAAGATGATGTGATAATCTGGATTCCGTTTCGCTTTTTGCTTTTTGCTTTTTGCTTGGCATTGATTGCATATGCAGGTACGTATACGATCTTTCTTTTTTGGAGAAATGAAAAGACGTTGAGGATTGGGGATTGAGTATTGAGGAGGTCTTGTAACTGGTGGTATTTTGAAATGGCTTGATTGTATTGGGAAAAATTCAACAAGTTGGTAACGAACTGGACAACTCAGTCTTTTCTCTGAAGTTTTACTGGGGATTCCTCCAGATAGTGTGTTTCTACTATGCGTTCTACAAACATGATCATGATCATCAGGTCTCACATTTCAGAGTTAACATTCATGATTGGGAACGTACTAGAGAACCTTGATAAGATCATCTAGGGGGTGGTTTCATGATGACATATAGGAAACAAAAGAATTCTAGAATATTGTATTTTCAGATTACAAATTAGTTTCAATCAGGACCAAAGGAGAGATGAGGCAGTAATTCATGATCATGGTAAAAAGTCATTTATATTTGTAAAAACGGCTATCGTAAGATAGAACAAGAAGTGAACCTCTACACTGTCATCCATCAAGGTGAAACAAACTCTACCGCATCCAATTATCGAACCCACGAAATCTCCTTTCTAATCCGCATACTTAAGACTGGTAGATACATTGAGAGTAGTATGGGTTCTGGACCTGGCAGTGGGTACCCTCAACACAGGTGGTGGATCCGGTATAACCAATTCCTCCACACTGGTAGTAAGCAGCGATAGTGCTGCCAGTTGGGTAGGCAACACCACCAGTTCCTGAAGCAAAGCCAGTAGAAGCGATAGTTGAAGAAGTGCCAGTTGACAAAGTTGTTGGGTATGGTGGAAGGGAGTTGGCTGAGGTCTTGGAAGAGGATGGAGCAACGAATGTCGAAGAGGTATCCACATCGGCACTCTTCAAGGTTGTTGGTACAACAGCGGCAGTGGTAGAGGCGGAGGCTGAGGCGGAGGCTTCTGGAATAGATGTTGCGGGTTGTGGAGTCACAGTGACAACGACAGTCTCAGAAAGGTGGTTTGTAATGGTAGTTGTGTACAAGACAGTGCTTGGTGTGGCAAGGTCGGAGCTGACTGCTGGTGCGGAGGTGACGACAGAAGCTTCGGAGCTTGTTGCTGCGGCGGAAGTTGCTGCCACAGATGATGCTGCGACTGAAGATGCCACTGCAGAAGATGACTTGGTCTTGCAAGGCTTCTTGGATGAGGTGTGGTGGGATGGCTTCTTGGATGAGGTGTGGTGGGATGGCTTTCCGGTTGGGCGAGCGAAACCAGATGAAGCTCCAGTTCCAGATGGGAAGATTGGCTCCGATTCATTGAAGGCTCGGACTTGGTAACTATCGCGGTACTTAGCAAATTGTAGGGATTGGATGTGAAAAGCATGTTGTACTTACTGGCCACCAGGACGATAGATGTTTGTTGCCATAACAGATTGGCCGAGCGCGAAGCTGGCGAGGATGACGGCGTTGCACTTCATTTTGGTTGAGGTATGATTGTCGAAATCTTTATTTTTTGTTTGGTACAGAGGATCTGGCCTACTAATGTATTCTTGATGTATGAGAAGAACGTAAGAGATGGCACAGCCAAGGGATTGTGTTAAGAGCAGATCTTTGAAGAAAGAGAGACTGAAGGTGAGATACTTCGAAAGCTGGTAAAGAGAGAAAAAAATCAAGTGAAAAACACAGAGACAAAGAAGTATTTGAACAGCAACGAAATGACAGTGGATGATTCCAGATCATTTGAAATGTGTGGGTCGATTCAACAGCCGCCCCTCCATAATTTAAGGTATATTGATCTGGTGGATCAGGAAGCTTGACTGAAAGCTCGGGACATATTTCAGCACTTGCTATCAACCAATCGCAATGAACTGGAGGTACATGTAAAACAGAAAACAGGCTGGCTGTTTTCTTTCTTTTCCCCTGGCAAGATTGTAGCTGTAGCCAGCCGCGTTTACCAATCTCACCGCCGCTGAATTGTTTCATTGATAATTAATCGTATAAGATTGACTTCATTTGTACTATAATGTTACCAATCTCTTTGAAAAAACCGCAAGACATGTGTTATCAATCCCTCAGGGGAAAAACCAGGGAGTTGACTGGTAGAAATATATGAAAATCATCTCATGTTGGATTATGGTGGGTTGGCACAGGTTGGGAAAACTTTCGTTCTAGATTTCTTAATGACATTCAAGGATACATGCATCACAACTAGTCCCAAATAGGTTAAACGTCATCGTTTAATATAGTGGATTTGATTAACGACGTTTCGAATTGACGATTTATAAAGTAGGCCGAGATATTTCATTCGAAATGTTCCAACCAAATATCAAGATTATGACGACAAGATACGCAGGATACGCCATCAATAGTCTTTCTTTAGAATCTCACTTGATAAAACTTCAGAGGCGCGCTTACTTGCATTCAACAATATCGAATCTGTGATACCGCATCTCAATCTAGGCAGTCGAGCCGCCATCGAAGCCAAAAGATCGTGTGCAGGCTCACGGCTTCCTTGGCCACCGAGTCAACAACACCATCACTATCACAATCATAACCACCATCGAAAAGTTGCCTCAGATCGGATCTTCATTCTGTGATTGTGATATGCAAAGAATAAGCGGTTGCTTCGGATGTCCGGTTCTTATCAGTCCAATCATTCCATCAGATGTTTCCACGGACTGGGGAAGAACAACCTTGTTGACCCCCTACCATTACAGTAGCAAGGATTCTTACAGTGATAGACCTTATCACATCAATATAAATATCCCTGACTTGGTAAAAATCTCGAACCAGAAACTTCAGCCAAGTAAGCAAGGTTGTGTCAAGTTGTCTCTTTGATACAAGATCATCACCGAGAAAAATCTTTGATTATTCAAACTTACAATACGAGAAGTTGAATAGAACCACATTTTGTTGCCGAAATTCTCATTTCAATTTGATTGTTGAACACAACATATATAATATATTGCTATCGTGGCTGTTCGATACTCATTGGATTTCAAATGCCAAGGCTTCGAGACATCAATAATGATTTGTACCATGGCTATCTGACAGCGGAGAATTTTCTGGAACTTTAATTGAACTCAGCTCTCACCGTTAGTTCTTCTTTAAGAGTATGTATATATTGCGGCAATTCACTCAAACGAGATCGACAAGCTAAAAAACTCCGTCCGATGTTTCCCCCCTTAAATCCACAATGATGAAAGGCTGGCGGAGTGCTCCATCCTTCGAAATCAGGGGAAGTTACCGAACGAGTTGTCGCTCCAATTGCCTATTCTTCTACTGTCTATCACTAACCTTAATTCTGCTTGTTTGAGTCCACACTTTTATCAGATTGCTTGGACAACTAAGAGCATTTTCATAGTGAGCTTCCTCGGTAGACCCCTTGGTTCGTTGACCCGTCCAGGCAATATGCTTTTTTCACATCATTGAGACTTCAGAGAAATTAATTCAACGTACGTATCTTCCACTTGTCACATAGCTGCACTAAAACATGGGAAAGCCCTTGGCCGAAGTTCGAAATCGCAACAGCCCCTTCAATACATAACATTTCAACGATCAGATAATTTTTGACACTTCATTCAATCAACGCATTGATTCCGTTCACACGTTGCAAGTTTTTCTTCTGGTGACAGCTTTCGCAATAATCCGGGAGAAGTGGGAACAAGGCAAATTTAAACAGAATTGCACAAGATGACGTCGCGAACATTGTTCTTTTCAGTCAAGAATCAAGATCTTCGAGAATTTCCGTCCCCATCCACAACGTCCGGTAGTTTTCAAGTTGTCAATGGAGTATACCATACTATTAGAATTGTCTGTTCGGCCCATAACCTCGGAATTATAGTTGTTGGCTTGACGAAGTCTCTGTTGCAAGACCTCAACATTGGCCTGCAAAAAGAACATTGCCTTTCCGGCTTGAAATTCGGCCTTTAGTGGTTACAGCCGCCTTTTATCACACACGACTCCATTTTATGTTTCTTTTTATGTACGTTGAATCGCTATGATGGGCTGCAATTGATTGGTACCAGGGCGCTGGATACTATTCTACGGAGAAGTGCCAGCAAACGGTCTAGTTTTATTTTTGGAAAAAAATTCTTGCTCGGAAGAGCTCTCGAGCAACCCAAACCGCCGTATACATGATCTTATTTGCGAGGAAATTTTTAATACGGCCTTCTTTTCTGGTATAAGTATATGCCATGAGTAGCACAAGTTCTTGGTTGACTACACTCATCTCAATCAGGCTCAAGGATCACAGCACTACACTCTATTCTGAATTCCACATCTCCTCGAAACTTTCACCTGGTCGATAACATTAGTCGATATGACACGTAAGAAGGCAGACTCTAAAGCTTCCACCCATGCAATTCATGTTTCTTCGGATACAGAGTCATCGGGAAGCGATACCTCGTTCGTGGCTAAAGATAACAAGACCGGTAAAGAGTTAAAGAAAATGAGTCGTAAATTCACGGGTCAACTTGCTCCGCATCGTCAGAAAGATCCCATTCCCCCCACGAAGTGATGACTTCTAGAATATAATAGTTTACTTTCGGGATCTCTGGACGACATTGGGTCTAAATGGTGGTGTTTAACAGCGCGAATTGGTGGTTTTAGCAATGATTTTCTATTATCACTAATTAAAGATACATCGTTTCTTTGCTTGGTTTTTGTTTAGTTTGTGAACTCTTCGCGCACATGGGGTGTACTGGCATTCTTAATTTTCAAAGGATTTCAAAGGAGACTTCCATGTCCGAAAATTTTCCTGCATTTGCGATTATTTTCCGGTTTATTTTAGTATCTCACAGTGTCTTAGGCCATGCTAATTGCTAGGTAACTTAAACTTGTGCTTCGAAGTTTGCCAGCGTCACAACACATATTTTGTCCCCAATCAAGGGCTCTATAAACGTTGTTTAGTTCTCCAATCCATATATGAACCATGTTTGGGCTCTGCTTTGACATTGTTCATTGCCAGATGTCCGGAAGGAAGGAATTGATTATTCATGTTACCTCAACGCTTGCAGAGTTGCAAGAGACTTGGGAAGAAGCCTATCATCACCCCATGAAGTGATTCATTCACGCTGAGGAAAAGTCCCAAGAAATTGATAAGGAAATGCAAGAACTTTGCCAAGTAATCCTCGAAAGTCATTCCACGTTTGTTGCGACCACTTGAGACTGGTGGCCGCCAGAAATAGCCTTGTCTTATTCACGGTGATCTCTGGGCTAGGAATACTTCCTGTAATATTGATACTGACATGCCTATCATTTACGATTCAGCTGCTCTGTATATATGCCCACAACGAATGTAAGGCAGATGAGATATTCCCTACTTCTATTCATAGTGTATTCATTCAAGAGACAATTATGTAACCAATGACAATGATTATAATCAGTGGAAATGGCAGCTTGGAGATCAATACGACACTTAATTGGAAAGCAAGACATGAAGGAATACTTCCATTATTTTCCAGTATCTAGCCCAGAGGGAGATCAAGACGACCGCAATATGCTCTACTATCTGTAAGGAGTTTTCTCAAACTGAAACCTCATCAACTGATGTCCGACTAGTCGATGGAATCTCAAAAGCTCAGCCCTGTTTTCCGGGAGCTTAAAGTACCTGAATATGTGAGTTTAGACGTTACTTGCTCAATTGCTCAGTATTTGTTAACAACACAAATCAGGGCGAAGGAAACTATGAGAACTTTGATCGTAAAGTTCCCCGGTGGCTACGAAGATAGGGTGAATCTTTTTCTCAAATTGCACTTTTACAGTTTTAGATTTGGCAGCCAAGTTTCTGTTCTTACATTCATCGCAAATTTCTCCATCCCAAGCAAATTATTGACTCGTGAGTTACGATGGAATGGGTTAGAGAGAGGGGAGAGGAGCCTGTGCAGAGAACTATGGCCCCCACGGTGATAGGATTGAACTTGTGAGAGAGCATGTCATAGAAGAATAATCGACTATTCTGAAACTTGCAGCTTCCTCTCGATCGAAGTTCTGACATACGGAGAGGTTAAAAGTGTCTCTATCAATTTTAAAATGAAGAACCATGCTCTTCGTCTAGTAGTCAAATTTACCGAGCAAAATGTGAATGTGAAAAGTAACACCAGTTTGTCGTAACCTCATACTGTGATTCTCGAAGTAAAAGCTCTGGCAGTACCACAAGGGCTAGGGCTTGGCTCATTCCTTCGAGCTCTCAGTGGCTAAAGTACTGAGGGGAATCGAGAGATACATGCAGCCAACAGAGGTTGTAACGCCTAGATAGGTGAAATATTATTGTGACAGTGCATTAAAAGACAGGGGGGAAGCAAGCCATGCATATGCTAAAAGGACTTGCGATTCACGGCCACCTTTTGGGATTGTTCCGTGTCAGCAAACAATAGAGCGACGATTGATTCTATCAATTTCATTCGATTACAGAATGCATTAAATAAACCGCACTTCTCTACGAATTTTGACTTCTTATTTGTATTCAATACGTACCAAATTACCAGAAAAATCTACCTGGATATTTGACAACAATGTCAGACGCAAACGCAACTACACCACGAGTCTTCATCGCTCGACACGGTAAGTTGACATTCAGACTTTCTAATGGAAAATGAATAGCCCAATTCTAATATTCCCATTACATCCAAGGTGAAACAAAATGGACCATCAACGGCCGCTGCACTAGCAAGGCTAAGATTCCTCTCACCGCAAACGGAATTGCTCAAGTTCAAGGCACGGGCGAAGTCCTTGTCGGTGCTGGTAAACTCATTGACCCTTCCAAAAAAACACATGTTTCTACTTCACCTCGCAAACGGGCTGTTGATACGTTATCGATGTTGCTCGAGCCTGCACATAAAGATCGACTTGATCAAGAGAACAAAATCACCACCACAGAGGACATCGCAGAGTGGGATTATGGAGATTATTCAGGCTTGAAACCTGATGAGATTGAAGAAAGCAGAGCTAAGAGAGACCTACCAAAATGGGATATCTGGACTCAAGGCTGTGAGGGCGGAGAGTGAGCAAAATCTGTCGTGCGCATATTGGTATGGTGATTGGCTTTCGCATAGAGATTATCGTTTGGTGCTTGATCCAGATCGGCAGAAAAAGTACAAGAGCGTCTGGATAGACTCATCGACCAGATTTATGAGCTGTAGAGTCCTCGTGTAGATGACAAAAGTGGCGAGTCTGCTGATGTTTTGATTGTAAGATTTGATGTCTCGTTGAACTTTTCTTTTGATGTGGCTGATCATGATTTTGATCGGTTGCTCACGGTCACATCTTGCGCGCGTTCACGAAGAGATGGCTTCGCTATGCTATGGACTTTCCATTCCAGATGATGGGAGCCGGGTGCGATTGGTATTATGAGTTATACACATCACAATATTAAGGAGCCGGCTATTTTGGTTGGCACGGGATTTCCTTTATCGAAGTAGGTTGCTTTGATTAGAATGTATGTTTTCAAGATAGGAGGATGCGACTGATGAATATATTAATACAATGACATATGCTATTGCTTCTTATGACTTTATGAGTTTCAATTGTCATTCCGTGAATATGGAGTGACATGACGTATAATGTTCCACGCACTGCATGACGATGTAAACACAAGCATCAAACTAAAAGCCCCTTGTAACTCACTACTTTATTGTCTTTCAAGTAGTATTGCTCTTGTATAGCTAGCCCCATCTCCAACTAATACTACGTATGTGAGAAGAAAGCCTTCGTTCCACCTTCCTTGAGTCTCTTTTTCGATGCTCTTATACACATAAGAGCAGACATTATGGGGGTAACCTGGTCTTCTCAGTACTGGAGTTGTGTGCATTCTGACCACAATCATCTAAAATGATTTGCTGGTTGTGACCGTCTGCTCCAAGTCTTCAGACAATAATTTACCCGAAGGATTTTCTAGATCTAAGAGATTGATATGATATATCTGTATGTGCCTTCGAAATTAAATGTAAGGATTAGAAGATTTGCTGCATTACATACTCAATAAATCACAGACTTCTGTGATCTTTCAATTAGGAGTGAGATGGAATTCAATCCTGTAGAGCCAAAGAAAAGATTCCCAGGGGGTTGAGGCATCATATTTATTAGAGATCCCTTCATCTTCAAAACTAAGTAGAGAATCTCTTCGTGAGATTAGGATTGAGGTATTCCGCCGCCCACCGCTTTTAAATTAACAGAAAATCAAGTTTATGGCCAGATATTGACAAAGTGGACACCTGTTTCCCATACCGTGAGAATTGTTACGGCAGTAGAGAGTTAGACAAAGATGAATAGGATTCATTATTATATGCTACACTAAAGCATTATCTCCTCCAAAACCATAGATTGAGACCACAGTTAATTTTTTCCTTGAGAACCGATCGCCGATGCCAAGATGTGCTTTTCTCCTTCATTCTTCATATCAATTTAGCTCGAGCCTGCAAAACCCACATCTCATTTCATACTGCTATCCATCGCTTCAACTCCAAATATCATGCTTTTTCAACTCAATCGCTCCCAATAATGCTCCTTCGACATATCCCCATCAATCATCCTCCATTCCGTACACTCTCCCCAGCCATGCCCTCACTTCTTCCCCTCCTCACCTCCCTCGTAACTATATCCCAAGGCCTCTGCTCCAGCATCATTATCCCAATCCTCCTTCTTCAATCCCTCTTCCACATGTAGTCTCTTAAGATCCTGATGATTCCAACTTTGACGTCTATCAAGATTGGGTTTCCAGGTATCGACTGAAGATGGCAGGGTTTCCCCGCCAGAATTGCGACGCCCGTCAGGGATAGATACTTCGATGATCTCGGCGAGGTGAGAGGCTGTGGAGTCAGAGGTGGGTTTGGAATGGAGGGGAAGGGAAGCTTCGTCGCTGTGGCTGGGTTTGGATTGCTGAGATGCGATTGATGTCATGTTGTTTTGTTTGAGGTTGGCTTTGAGGTTGAAGGTATTGAACGAGTCAATAGTTGGGCAGAGTATAGATTTGTTTGGAATTTTTCAATTGAGAGACTGATCAATGGGTAGATTATTCAACGAGGAAATCGCCCAGTCTACTATTGATTGATTGATTGATTGATTGATTGATTGATTGATTGATTGATTGATTGATTGATTGATTGATTGATTGATTGATTGATTGATTGATTGCAAGAAATCGATTGAACCTGAGCAAATGATAGGATAGCTTTGTTCGTGATGTTTTGATTTTTCGAATGTCGTCGGTAGTTGTAGAAGATATACTATCAAAATACGGAAGCTGCGATGAGCTTTTGTGCTTTTGAACTTTTGATTTTTCGTGCTTGAAATTGTAAAGGTGTTGAATGGTGAATAGAAATAGATATCAATTGTCAGTCATTCAGTCGAATATAAATACCCGGATTTAAAATCACGAGAGGTCAATTAGATTAGCATACCGTCATCTAGCATACCATCATTTATCACACCATGAATTAGCATCCCACCAATTAGCATGCCACCAGTTAGCATACCCGTCTCCTATTCACATATAGACATCCAATCAGTAAGCCAGCAAGCCAGTCAATATCAATATACCCTCACAAAGCAAGAACGATGATAAATAGTAATGACGATCTCCAGTCCTCAACAGCCAAATTAGCTTCCTACTGATGATCTTACCCCTCTTCCCCAAGCTATCCTTCAAATCCAATCCAATCAATATTCATTCACTCACCAATAAAGAAATCCTTTGACCTGATGGGGAAACGGGCTTCCCTCATACATTGGCACAAGAGTGGTATGACACGTTTTCTTTCATACACATCTCCCTTTCTCAAAACATGCGTTTCCAGAAAACAAGCTTCACATCTATCCACGTCAGGATTGTCTCGAGATTGAATCGAAGTCCGGGTTCAATTGGAGGCACGTGTACTAGCGCAATGCGGGGTCGCTTAACCTTAATTATGGGGATCTAATCGATAACATTTTTATTTTCTTATCGCCACTTTAAACCACTCGCTGCCCAGTGCACCCAACAACAACAACAACAACAACAACAACAATAACCTTGCGACTTCCTCAATAATTATGTTTGTTTTCGTTTCACTCATTGTCGCAAACCATACCATTACACCAATATCTTCATACTTCTCTATGTCTTATCAGATACAACATTTTAGTACTCAATCTACTTGCGCCATTCACTTGCAACAACGGAACGGATTTCATAAATGCTTTTTTGATGTTTTTAATACATGATAACCTCGTCTGAAACTCTTCAAAGTTACTCTTACCTCTCGATGCGCTGACTGTACAAGACCGTCTCGAGAGATATGCAACCAGCAGAATACAAACGCGAAATAATTAACTGACGCCTCGCTATGCAAATAAAAGGGTATGGGGACCGGAACATCGCCTGATATCTATCATCCATCCATCATCGTATACAAACAGTTTTTTTTTCATTATGCAATCCAACCATACCGGGACACGATCATCATGAATGTCGTTTATGTTACAGTTTGCGAATCGATGTTAAAGTTATGAAGCCTTTACATCTCATGACAATTCGATTCTTTCCTTGAGCGAAACCTCAAGTCGTCCGTCGTACTCAAGCACATCTATGGAGTTCTTGGACGCTTCCAATAATATTGCTGCGAAAAGGTTAGATAAGAGAAATCGATCAATTCATGGGTGAGTATTACCTTGTGCTGCTTTCTGCAGTTTCTCAGACTAGGTTTCCTTAATCCTTCTTGGACTGTCTCCTTTCTTGACTGATCGGTATCTTCGTCTGGGATGTAGTAATATTCACTCTCAAGTGGCTTTCCCGCAGCGTCCTTGCCCTCTCGATGGATTTCGCCGATGAACGATGTTCTGTTCAGCATCTTTCGGAGATCATCCTTTGTGAGGCCCTTGTTCTCCTTCTTTGAAGGACTAATACCTCTGAGATTGGATGGAAGGTTTCTGAGGATAGTTGACAATGGCATGGATTGAAGACGAGAATAGGCAAGTTGATTGGCTACATGATTAATGACAGGAGTAATAGCACCTTCGTCAGTGGATGTAGAGCTCGATCGCTTCTCAGTAGATGTCTTGGACTTGTGCTCAACACGACCACGAGCTTCTGGGGTATGTCCAGCTGTGAATTTGGCCATTCTCGAGGATAAATTTGCACCAAATGGACCGAAGGAGTGAACAATGGGATCATTTTCTTCATCAGGGTCTTCGTCTGGCTCACTCAACTCACTCTCTTGACTAGCTGGGAATGATGCACTGAATGATGTTGCAGCGACTGTTGGTGAGTATACCGGCTCAGGATCTTTAGACTTGATTGCTGGAGCTGGCTCTGATTTGTCTTCATATACTTGGATGAAGGTCTTATCTGCATCATCAGCAAAGAGGTTGGCCAAATTGGCAGAGGAAAGGGTTTGGCGAGCAGGAGTTGGTGATACTGGTGACGAATGACTTTCAACACGACGAATAGGACTTGAATGAATAATGTCACCCTGAGCAGTAACGGCAGTAACTTTACCCCTAGGAGAACTATCTTCACTCCACGAAGGAACTTCTGTTGGAGCAGCAGAGTCAAGATTATCACCTTGTGGCCAAGCAACCAGAACCCTTGCATCCTGAACATCCAACATAATTTCAGCATTTTCCGTTTCCGAGGTGAAACTATCTCCCTTTGCCAACTCCCATGTTCGACCTTGACAATGTAACTTTACTCCATTCCATCCACAACAGATAATCTCAATCTTGTTCGACTCGAGAGGAACCGTAGCAGCAATATATCTAGCTTTGATATGGACACGAGAGATGAGACGATTGGCGGACAATTGATAGTGGGAGGAATTGCTTGATCTACCCATGAGAAGAGACTCTCCATCTTCAGGTAGAGTGATTGTTGGCACAGCTGAAAGGGGAGCCCTCTCAACAGAGGATCGACTTCGATGGAGACCGGCTCGAGCGTGTACCCCTGGAGGAGGAGAGGATGAAAGAATACCAGTCGTGGAAGTAGGAATTGGTGTTGGATACTTGGTGTAAGCTGATTCGAATGCAGATGGTGATGTACGAATTCTCTTGGTGTTACGTCCTGGCAGACTTGGAGAGGAAGAAGGAAGTGGCTCAAAGGGTGGAAGTAAGGTTGGTGCTGGACGTTTTGTACCCGCCAGGGCTGGCAAGGCAGGTTGAGCGTTAGCCTTACTTGGTGAAGAGTCCATCATGATGAATATCCTCTGATCACGAATGATGAAAGGTAAGAGTAATTTTCTTCAAGGTGGATATCTCAGACCGCGACCTAAACGCGGTGGGCGAGTTGAGATTCTCACGCGAGGCTCATAAGATTTTGAGAGATGGCGAGGACGGTGAAGAAGATTTTGGTAGAGGGATTGGGTAAGACCGAACTAGAAGAATTGAAAATGTACGAAATAGAATGGAAAGATTGTAGAAAGACGAGACTTAGTTTTGTATGGGCCTCCGACCAGGTCTCTGATTGAGAGATGGAGGATCGGGAAAGTTGAAGAGGAGGTTAAGAAAGTTCCCAGACCCATCGGTACCCAGACGCGACCCGCGTTGGAGTCTAAAAATGTTCATTGGCCGCTTTAAAAGATTATGAATTCTGCTATTTCTACGACCTGCATTGAACTGCACATGCACTTTTCACATGGAGATATAAATCATAAAATACGATTCTGGATTGAGAAGATGATGGTGAATTTATATAGTGAGTGATTGAATTTTCTCCATGTGTCATTCACTTGTATAAGTACCTAGGTATGGTTTAAAAATGACTTGGATGACTTTCATTTCAGTCAATTGGAAAGTATAGTACTGCCCAGGTGGTACATGGATAGGTAGATATTCCATCTTCATAACTACTATCTACTAGGTAGTACTCTAGTTACTCTATTCTTACTAGATAGTTCTCTACCACGTCTACCTACCTAGTAGTAACTGAAGTAATAACTTTTACCAAAGCTCATTTTTATATCTCACTATATAATTCACGTCTAATGATACTAGGTATACATAAAACTCAAAACCTTCCAATACTCTCGAGCCTATTCATACGGAATATACAGATTTACCTATATATACAGGTATTTTATGTTTATACCAGATTTTACACCGTCTGCCCAGGTGTCCAATAACATTCTTTCATAACCTTTTTATCCTCTACATTCTTCTCGTCTCTCGTCTCTCGTCCATTCATTCCAGTTCTCGTCACCAACCGCGAGTTTCCAAGGCCCAGTCAGCAAATTTTCATATCTCATCCCATCCCATCCTATCCCATCCCATCTAGCCATTTATCACACGCATCCCATACCCATACCTTACCACTCCACCCCACGCGACACAAAACCCAGTTCCAACTTCCACTTCCAGCCTCCTTTGAATATCTACTTTCGTTTCGTGCTCGTGTAATCGTGCGTGCGTGCTTTTCATACCTTGTACTTGGTGCGTTCCCAACGCGAGGTGCAAGATTTTCTCACGCGCTGATTGACTGAAAATACCTTGGGCAGAGGGTGATGTATGGAGATATGGGTGTCCTGAGTAATAAGCTACAGAGGACAATTTATGTTATATTATGTCAGATTATATATATTATATATATGCACCGTACTAGGTAGACAGGTAAAATGAATGTGTTTCCGAGATTTGAATCAGAGCATGGCGGTGGATGCACATTGGGATTGACAAGATATGTAAGGACACCTCTCTTTCTCATGATTGCAGATTTCTCATGCACTTAATTACGACCTACATACATATCACTTGATACGTGCATTTGAATCATGTGGATGGAGACCGCTGCGTAGGGTACGAATTGAGACAATTCAAAGATTGAGTTGAGTTGTAGTCGGTGTGAGTTCTTATTTTGGGCGGAGGATCATATGAATGGACAGCGGGAATTCCCAAGCTGCATGTCTACTCGGGGTTTTGACAAGTTGATGTGTCTGAGATTGAATACATTTGTCATAGATACGAGTAGATTTGGTCAAATGAGACCGTACTAGGTAGGAATGAATCTATTCATATCATTCTCATAATTATTGGTCTATAGCAGCTTCATTCATAATTCCTTATCGTGAATTGTAGCCTTGCATCGACATATCTAAGCCTTGCGATAAGGTACGGCAAACGAGGAAAAGCACAAACGCAACTTCAAAGCCTCGTCGGAGAAGTTGCAAAGAAAATTCCGACGCCAAAGAAATTTATCAAAATCAAATCGCAAAAATTCTTATCGTAAGAAGCTTGCGAGATTTGTACAATAACTTTTTTTTTCTATCAACTCCAAGAAAGATTTGACATTTGCATTTTCTGTCATTTCTTGTAATCAGGAAATTGCCAATTGAAAAAGAATCCATTATTCAATTCCAAAGTTCTTAATAATGGCACCTAAATCTACTACCTTGACCACAAAGGTCGAGAGTGGTTCTCCATATCAACTTAATCATGATCAGGTACATTTTCAATTTTCACTTCCATTCCAATTGACATATACTCACAAATCACAACAGGTATTGAAAGCATCCACTGCACTCCTCAAACATATCTCTACCAGCGAGGCCGAAAAAGCCAAAAAGGGAGGGGCTCAGAATCTCCTCGCCGAAAACGACGACGACGACGCAGAATCCACACCCATCTGGCTCACTCTCACTACCAAGAAACACATCAGCGACAAAACCAAGCTCAAGCCCGCCAAAGTAACCGTCCCCCACTCCCTCAACACCTCCACCACCACGACCATCTGTCTCATCGTCGCCGATCCTCAACGCACCTACAAAGATATCGTTGCATCTGCCGCCTTCCCCGCCGAACTCTCCAAGCGCATCACCAAAGTCGTTGGCGTCGACAAACTCAAGAAGAAATACAAGCAATACGAAGCCCAGCGCAAACTCTTCGCCGAGCACGACATCTTCCTCGCCGACGATCGAGTCATCACGCTCTTGCCCAAATTGCTCGGAAAATCCTTCTACAAATCTACCACCAAACGTCCCATCCCCGTAGCCATCCAAGCCGAACGTCCCAAAACCGACGGCAAGAGAATCGCACGCGCCAAGGGTGAAGATGCACCTAAATCCGCTGAACCTAAGAAAATCGCTGCGGAGATCGAAAAGGCTATTTCGAGCGCATTGGTTACGTTGAGCAGCTCGACGAACTCGGCTATCCGCATCGGGTATGCGAGCTGGGATGCGGCGAAGCTGGCGGAGAACTTGGAGGTCGTGGTCGATACTGTGATTGAGAAGTATGTTCCTAAGAAATGGAGAGGCGTGCGTGCAATCCACGTCAAGGGTCCAGAGACCATGGCGCTCCCCATCTGGTTGGCGGATGAGTTGTGGGTAGAGGAGGAAGATGTTTTGGATGAGAGCGTGGTGAAGGAGATTGAAGAGAGAGTTTCGGAGAAGAAGAACAAGAAGAGGAAGAATAGGGGTATGGACGCAAGCGAGCTTGAAGGAGGAGAGGAGAAGAAACAAAAATTGTTGGAGAGCAATGATGATAAGTTAGACCAGGAGATCGCGCTACGAAAGGAAATGTTGAAGAAGCAGAAGGAGGATGCGGCGAAGGAATTGGATGCCGTTCCCGTCGTGGTGAAGAAGACTAAGAAGACTAAAAAGGTTGCTGCTTAGCTTACCCAGTTTCACTTAACTTAACTTCAGTCCTGTTCCGTTCCGTTCCGTTCTGTTCTGATCAATTCAAAAATTCAACTTTCTCGCTTCTCGTTTTCCGGCTCGAGAACGGAGGAAAAGAAAATGGGTTTATATTATAAGAAGGCGTTGGCGGCGCAAATGTATCTATGTATTTATGTATGTTTGTTAGTAGATTAGACTTATCGTAATGAAAGGAAATCTTGTAATGGATTGCATAGCATAGCATAGCATAGCATAGGTACTGGGTATTTAATTGTATCATCTAAATTCTGAATGATGATTAAGGTCAGGGGAGAAAAGAAAATGTAAGATCTTAGAATTTCACATATTGCAAATTTCCACACATACATAGAATGAGGCTTAAAAGTATATTTATTCATTCCGTGACTCCCATACAGAATGTATGTAATCTTACCAAATTATCATCCTTCGGAGTACCTAGTAGTACTCAAACTACAAATCTCAATTTCGACCGTGAGAACAAACGCCCGCATCCCATAGCCTACGCCCGGTATCTAAAACTACAAATGCTATCCTTCCACTCCATAAACAATCGACCAATTTGCAAATTCTCCCAAAATAACAAATCAATCTCATCTAGCCTAAAGGGTCGTAACCGAGCCCCTTTACAATTCCTCTTCATGTCCGGTCATCTCGGTTTGTTTCTCCCCAAATTTCCTTCCTGCAGGACCAAAGTATGCTTTAAAGGCCTTTTCTAACATCTCCTCTCCCAATGTCATATGACCTCCTGGAATGGTTTCGAAAACCAATTTTCCGGCTTCATCCAATGTCTTTAAACCTACCCAATCTTCTTTATAAATGGCTCTTTCTTTCAGTGGTGTAACTTCCGTGCCGTTGACTTCAGCCCACCATCCACTCTCCTTAGGAATGACGGTTGTATCGTCTTCAAAGACGTACATGACGAATCGTTCCAATTTTTCCATGTTTGATTTATAGGTTTCATTCTTGAGAACACGCTCATTATTGATATCGGCGAGGAAATTAGAAAATTCAAGGTAGGAGTCGAGATTTTCGGGATCTCTGAAGTATTGAGCGGGCACGAGACGAGATTGGACAAATGTTGACCAGGTGTTCGAACGTAGGAGGGTTTGAGCACCCCGGCAGAGGAAATCGGTAGGACCACAGGCTTGGAAGGAAGAAATGCCGTTATGTTGGGAACCGAAGGTTAGGAGAGAGCGAATGGGTGGAGAATTGCAGCGGGATATGTAGCCGCGCAGGAATTGGCCTCCTTGGGAGAATCCGATTGCGTCGACGGCGGGCGCGGTAGAGAGGATAGGGTGGGAGGCGAGGTCTTCGCAGACTTTTTCGATTTGAACTTGGGAAGAGAGTTAGTATTGTATTTTTAGGAGTACTAGAAGGTGTATTTACGAGTGAGATTTCCAAAGAAAGTAGCCGTCCTGTCTGCAGATGCATCATCATCTACATGAATATTATAGACAAAAGTTCCAGGATGAATAGCTTCAGCTAATTCTCCAACTTGCGCAAGACCATCCGCTTTGTAGTTGTCACCGAGTCCATGCCAGATGATCAAGGGTAGTGGAGTGTCATCGTCATCGCTGGATGATTTTGTGCTTTGGCGAGTCTTTCCGGATAAGGTGAGGTTGAAAATACTCGGAAGGGGACTATTTTTATCGTAGACAGAGGCATGTTCATCATGCGCGACGGGAAATTCAAGGATACTTTCAGGCATAACGATAGCGTTGATGAGTGATGCGCTGCTGAGCAACGAGATGATTGTGGTAATGGGCGCCATGTTGGAGAGCTTTGGTGGCGGGTGTAAAGGTTGGAGCTCTGAAGATAACGGTTTTGATACTAACTGGTGTAACAATTTACCAGAAGCTGTAAACCGTTTGAGTATTGTGGGCTAAAGTGATGGAATGATATATATCACAGATAGAATCTGCTTGTTCAGCTGAGGAAGATGACCTTATTGATGTTCCAGCTGAAGTTGGGGCTTAGTACTTGAGACCTTGATGGGCCATCCCCACAAAGCCGCTTTATAGTACAGTAGAGACCTTGAGATACATTTTTACCGATGTTCTACCGTACAGAGGAACATAGTAAATCCGTCTGATATTTATCACTTATTATATCAGTACGCAAGCTAATTGAATTATTTTGCATCAAAGTCTCGCACCGTATCTTTCTTCCGATCAAACTAAAGAACGAGCTGGGAATCTTGGATCACTGAGGGAGCCTCATTTCAGCGGCGATCAACGAAAACTGCACCGCAAGAAAATTTACCATCAAAATCGATTTGCGACAGAGAGCTGAATATAGAAGTTCGACTACGAAGACATTGATTGGAGCGCGTTACTAGTTGCAGTGCGAGAGGTTCAGATTATCGCGAGTTTGAGTTCGCCCGAGTTTTACATAGTCAAACTTGGAGAGCTGGAAAGCTATAACTGCAACCGTTTGTCATTTCTTGCACAAACTTTGAGGCAAGCCTTTACCAGAGACTGACGGGAAACCGAACGTAGATGCGAGGGGCCCCTTGGTCGACTTATTCGCGGAAATCCTCAACTATCGTTCCACATATTACTTCATCAATTTCCAATTCTTTTGCAATGGCACCCGCACCAATGGCGCCTGGTCCAGAACCTACCCAAGTTATCCCTACGGGTCCTCACCCATCGTTCATTCAAGTCGCCAAACCATATATGTTCCAGCAACATGTCAATACCAAACTCATGATCATTGGGGCAAATCCTACGCGTGAAGATCAGTTTAGGTTACAGGGGGTGACTTGGATTAATGACGTTAGAGTTGCTTTACAGTTGTCAGTATTACCCTCACTTGCGCAGACACAAATTATTAACTTCTACAAGACCAGTGCGAACTTTTTGTACTGCTGCTACTTACTTTCATCGATTTCGGCTTGTTCACAAAGATACTGAATATCAATACCAAGATGCAGCAGCTGCTGCACTTTTAACGGCTTGCAAGATTGAAGATACCCTTAAGAAGTCCAAGGATATTATTTGCGCCGCACACAACTTAAAACATTCAGCTGCAGAACACTTAAGCTCCGACGATACTGTATGTTTCACCACGTCCTGATTATGGATAGCTGCTAATTAAAGCAGATCTTTGAGGCTCCTTCTAAGGTTGTCATTGGCCTTGAACGTCTTATGCTCGAAGCATCTAGCTTCGACTTTCGTGTTCGTTACCCGCAAAAACACCTTATTAAACTTGTGAAGAATGGTGGAATTCAACGTGACGTTGCAGAAGTTGCCTATCAAGTCATGCTAGATCTCTACCGAACATTTGCCCCCCTCAAGCAGACCTGTTCCACCATGTCCTTTGCTTGTGTTGAACTAGCGACATTGATTTGTGAGAAGCAAAAGGGTTGGAGAGGTCCAAGCTATAAAAAGTGGTGGACTAGTCGATCAGAAATTGTGGAAACGATGTTAGATTTATTAGATCTTTACACACATTATCAGAAGCAGTCGATCGTTGGTCCTTTACACAATATCGAGAAGTTTATTGGTATCCGGATTAAGATCAATCAAGAGCTGGAAGAGAAGAGATTACCAAGACACACCGAACACCACGAAGCACCACGAAACAATGGCGTGCGACATGCACCGAACACTCCTGTTACACCAGCCAGCCCAGCAGACTTACGATTTAATGGACATGTTGCATCACCAGCAAACCTGAGCCCCAAATCGGTAAGTTCAGGTTCGAAACCACCGTCGGGTATTCGTGGTCAGAATGGTACGGTACGTTATATGTTGGATGTGGTTAAAGCCAAGAACGAGAGGGACACGGTCGATACATACTTTCGGGATGAATATGAGGGATATGAAGTGGAAGTGGAAGAGACGGTGCCGGTGGAGCCAATACCCACCCATCATACTCCGAGAGAACCACATCATGGACGACATCATGGGGGGCATGGACACGGACATGGCCATGGACATGGACGAGATTATCGACACTTTAACAAACGGATGCGAAGATGATGAAAATGACAAAATGAGATCATTATCAAGAAAATATTGTATGGCGTTCGGTTAAAGGGGGATATCTTCAAAAGAGCAATGCATAATAGGAGTCTTAGGGATGCTTCATGGGAGGTTTTGGGAGTTTTCGGGAGCGAAAGGGAAGATACCAACTTATTATAAATAGTAGGTAGATGTACATCTAAATGGACGATGGGGATTCAACGAATATAGAATTCTATTATATAACTTCAATAAATTCCTGAGGATGGATTTGATTTTTTCATGTACAACGATTATAGATAGGTATACGTACCTAGTAGGTAATGATTGTTATTGTAATTGTTATTATTATCATGGAAATTGAATTCGATAAGATGATTGGATTAAATAGTAACTTTACGTTGATTCGTTATGAGCATTTATAGTAGGTGGCACGCGAGCCGTGTTCTAACTTCTAAGTGAAGTTGAAGGCAAGGGAAGGGAAGGAAAAGAAAGGGAAAAGTTGCGGGCAAGGCAAGGTAGGTAGGTACCTATGTCATGTACTCGAGTAGGTAGGTATTAATAGCATGTGAAGATCAATCGGGGCCCAAGGCAAGGGTTGGAAAGGGTGGATGGATTATGACGATTTCTTGCGCAACGCAACCCAAGTTTCAAATGGGTGACCATTGACGAAGCCACATTGTGAAGATTTCTTGGGTATGGAGTCTAGATGGTGAGTATGGATGTGTAGGTGTGTAGGTATGTAGGTATGATATTGATCTATGGTATGTTTGATGGAAAGTTGGAATCAAGGAAAGGGACTGGAAATATGAAAACTACCTCCCTAGTACCTATGAGAGATAGGAATTGAGTAGTTGTTTGTTTTTGAGTGAATGTAAATATAGATAAGTATATAAATGCTATTGTAAATGCTATTTATTGTAAATGTAAATGTAAATGTAATAAATGTAAATATATATTATTCCTAAATTCTCTCTTCACATTTGACTTTTTACTACTAGATAGGTACTCGTATATCTCTCAGATATACTCACGGTTTAATTGGATTCCTTATCCCTTCACAAAGAAGAAACATTCAATTCATCTCGACTTGACTGAATGTAGAAAGAAGTAAAGAAGTAAAGAATCCGAGCTCATCTATCAAACTCATTCAAACCAATCAAGGCAAACTATGCACAATCGCTTGAGCAGTGAGTGATTATCGAGCAAGCAAGTACTTGCTTGGTACGAGTAGATAAGTAAATGAATGAATGGATGAATGAATGAACAAATAAAAGTGACGCAGTACAGGGATTTTCAACTAGTTCAGCCATGTTCCAGTAGCTTCTTCCCATCAACCAAGAAAAAGAAACCTGTTGACACAATTACAACTACAACAACTAACCAAAACTACATTAAAATCTCCCAATCTTTCCTCACAACCATCAACACCTTTACATCACAATTATAATCACAACCACAATTACACGCATCAATCCATACATCACAGAACAACTTCAATCAACGTAATAAAGGTGTCGTACGCTTGATACTTGATTCCTTCAACAAGGAGAAAACTTACATCAACATCTTCAAAATGGCTCCCCCACCTTCTGCCTCTCTTCCCCTTCAGCAAAGGCTCATACAACTCGCGCAAACATTACAGTGTAAGTGGCAGCTGGTCTCAATCTCAAAATATGCATAAGGATATATACTGACTATGGCATTGTTACAGTTGCTTGGTTCGTAGGGTATGTCGAATTTCTGATTGTTTCTTCCCCGCGTCAAAGAGAGCTGTCAGCTCTTTGGAGCTTGGATAATATGTGGTCTTTTCTCGCAGACTTCCAAACTGCTCCATAAACAAAGCTCAGGATTCTATCTGCGCAACATGATGACATACGATTCTGTGATAGATACTAACTCTCAATAATAGACATCTCTCCCTCCTTTTCTGCATCATCAGATATGGTCTTTCATACATAACCTTCAACTACTACTCGAGATGGGCTACCTTTTCTTATCGTACCGCCTTTATCTCCGCCGCTGTTACCTACGGGATCGTGGTTTACAAAGCATTCCGTGCTCGCGCCAGAGCTGGAAAAGCAAATCAAGCTGGTTTGATCTCTCTTATCGCTGATGAGAATGTTCAATACTTGGGTACGTGCTTTTTCTCCTCACCTTGATGATTAGAATCTAACAAATGATAGCCATGGCACTCGTATGGCTCTTCTCCAAACAATACCCTCTTGCCATGCTCCCATTCGGTGTTTACTCTGTCTTCCACGTTGCAACTTACACCCGTACCAACCTCATCCCAACTCTCCAACCAGCTCCAGCCGGTACCGACCCCAAGGCTGCTCCAAAGCCAAACGCTATGGCCGATACCATTGGCAAGTTCGTCAAGGAATACTATGACACATCCATGGGACTTGTTGCTCTTCTTGAAATCATTCTCTGGGCTCGTATCTTCCTCTCCGCTATTGCATTCCAATCTGGTTCCTGGATTTTGATTGTTATCTACACTGCATTCCTCCGCTCAAGATTCGCTCAAAGTGCATTTGTTCAAGGTCAATTCAGACAAGTAGAGGCAAGAATCGATAGCCTTGTTGGTGCTCAATCTACTCCTCCAGCAGCAAGACAAGTTTGGGAAGCTGTTAAGGGTGGTACTAGAACTTTCCACGATGCTACCGACGTCGGAAAGTATGTTGCCGGTGCTCAAGCTCAAAAGAAGACTTCATAAACGAAAATTGCCGATCCAAATACAAGATTAGTTTACCTGTCGAGAGATCTCTGGAAGTGTAGGTGAAGCACGAAAGGAATGATCTTTGGACTGGGAAGGATATTACAAATATGAAAACTCAAAAGCGAGTGTTGTCAGCAATTCAATGATGAATCAAATGGATCAGGGGACTGCATACATCCGGGTGGTTTATACATCATGATTAGTTGTCTAGGGTCTTTTATTCCGGATAGTAGGAAAAGCTTGAAAAATTGAGGAGTGAGCAGTGAGGATGGATGATGTATGCGTACTTGGTATCCGGACTGCTTCCCTTCTTTTTGTTTTTACTGCAGCGAGGGAGTTATTTTTGTGCACTTGTTTTATGTGGCGTGTATTCAAAGTCTAATAATAAAGATTTCATGAAATTCATATTGTGTGTCATCTATGCGTGAGTTATGATATGAGGTGAAGATGGTTAGGTCAAGGATTGCAAGGTGTTTGTGTATAGTGAATGAAGTTACTAACCGAGAGATTCGTAGGTAGGTAGGTAGGTAGGTAGGTAGGTATTGATACCAGCTCTTTGAGTAATATCAACAATGACAAATTGAATCAAACAAAGATATGCACACCCGGGAACTGGCCTCTTTGAATGAAAATCTATGGATTTATTGTGTTCCGGATGTAGCACCTTTGAAAGAGGGAGCAGGGTGGATTTTGTGTATTTAAATAGGTGAATAGGTGGATAGGTGGATGGGGGAGAGGGAAAAGGAGAGGGAGAGGGAGAGGGAAAGTCATCTGATATATTGAAGTGAGTAATTGGATGATTGGGTGATTGATGATTGGATGATTAGATAGTTGATATAATATATATGTATATGTATATGTATATGTATATGTATATGTATATGTATATGTATATGTATATGTATATGTATATGTATATGTATATGTATATGTATATGTATATGTATATGTATATGTATATATAGAGAGGATTTTTAATATTTGGTATAAGTATGAGAGTAAAGGGGTATTGGAATGGATAATAAGAAAAGGTAATAAGATGAAGAATGAAAATTGGGATAGAAATTGGTAGGGAGAGAAATTTGTTAGGTGTGGAGGGTGATTGATTGACTAGTTGATTAGTTTGAGAGAAGTGTGAGGGGAGGGGAGGTGGACATATTGTTGGTAGGTAAGTTATATGGATGTTGGTAGGGAATCAGGATGAGGATGAGAATGGAGATGGAGATGGGGTGAGATTATTTGGAGTTTAGATGGATAGTTGGATAGTTGGATAGTTGGATAGATTAAGAGGGGGAAGTGCTGGATTTTATAGGGACTTTGGAGGGTGGAGAGGGGATGGTTGAAATGGTGGTATAGGGGGTAGGTAGGTTTTGGTTATTGAGTTGATCGGGTTGGGTTTGGGTAGGGTGAAAGGAGGAGGGGGGAGGTAGAGTAGGAATTGGATAGAGTAAGAATTGGATTGGATTGGATTGGATTGGATAGAGTAAGAATTGGATTGGAGTGGAGTGAGAGGTGAGAAAAGAAGAATATAAAAGAAAGATCTGAAACTTTACACATATCATTCCGGTCATAGATCGGTTAGGAAATTGATCAGACCTATATCTCTAGGTAGGTATATATATATTTCTTGGGTTTCTGGATTATCGTGTTGGATCTGGATTTGGATTTGGATTTAATAAGATGTAGATGGTATTTAGATGTAGATGGGAATGAATCATCAATCGAGTCTGCTAGAACGATAAAGGGATGAGATAGGTTGAGATTTTGAAAGCAGGATATAGGACGAGGTCGAACAGAACAGGCACAAAAAAGTCACGTTCTGAAAGCTAATGTTTACCATCACCCACACTTTGGGTTCATAAGATCGATGGACCACCTAGGTATAGTTTTCTAGGCTGAGTGACTTCGTCAGTGGTCGAGGCTGCGATTGATAGTAATCAAACGTAACAAACTTGATGGATAGTTCAGATCGTTGTCCTTAAACGTAGAACTGAGCTATTAAGTCATAGAACTTGTTATGCTGGAAAGGCTTCGACTTGATGAGAGTGTAACATTAGTATGCTCTACATGATCTTCCCACTCTAGGTATAGATCTGTGTATGCTGATTAAAATCACTGCAAAATAATGTGACGGTAGTTACACAATCTCGGGTCTCACAGATCAGGAAGCCACTCGACCTCAAGATGTCAAGCTCTCCCCGCAATTTGATTCAGCTGCAATGCTTCATCAACTTTTCTATTATTTGCCGGGCGTTTATGCATTTATATATATACTGAGAAGGATCCAATAGTTAAACTTCTTGTTCTTTCTGTCGAACAGTATGCCGATCGATCAATCGTCCCCGATACCGAGAGCTGTTGCTGAGCTTTCCTCTAGCATAAGCTGTGGTGGTGACGAGCATGACACGAGCCTTGAATCCCTCTGCGAATCATGTCGGAGGGTAGATTGGTCAAATATTACAGACTGGACAAAGCTTTCGTGGCCAAAATCTTCGATGGTTGGCCCGGATGGACGCAACACAAAACCCGTCCGAACCTTTGAGGGGAATTCCCGTAGCCAACTACTCAACTCAGATTGTCGCGTCTGTCACCTGGTTGGGAGTCTTGTCAATCCAAGCTCTGGTAGCCGCGCCCCTAATCAGTCTCTAGAATCAAGTGACCAACCGCTGAATGTATGTTTGGAAGCTTGCGAGGGTTTCACTGAAACATGGGGGGGTTCCTTTGAATCATGGGATTCCAGAGAGCGAGACCCGTGTATCAAACTGGCAGTTCGATCCCCAGCAACTGGTTCGAATAGGATATATAGCCATGAAGACCAATTTCGCTTGATCATAGCACACAAATCCAGGAACAATGAGATCGCTGGTATTCGCATGACAGAGCCCTTAAGAGTCAACTTCGATTTTCTTAGAAATTTGTTGAACGGGTGCCTTGAGAATCATGAAGAGTGCCAGTCTACGAAGGTAGAAGTTGCGAAGCTGCGTGTCGTTGAGGTTAGCACGAAAAGAATTTGCCAGGCTCCACTAAACTGCGAATACATTGCTCTATCTTATGTTTGGGGTGACAATTCTACCTGTGAGAGTAGCCCAGGCGAGTTCCCATCAGTTGTACAAGATGCCTTCGCAGTCACTGAGGCCTTAGGCTACCAGTATCTATGGGTTGATCGATATGTGAGTCACTACAGCTATGGCAAGATATAATTCATGCATGACGGTGAACAATAGAACTGATAGAAGCTTTGACCATAGTGCATCGACCAAAACCCGAACTCCCCTCATATGCAGTCTATGATCAACCAGATGGATCTTGTCTATAGTAACGCCCGCGCCACTATAGTCGCGGCTTCCGGTAGCAGTGCTAGTGATGGGTTGCCGGGAATCAGTGTACCACGCTATCAAGCCTACACAGTCGTTGGCAAGACCCATCTGGTTGAAGTCCCCAACGCTGTAGCGGACATCATGCTCAGCAACTGGGTCAGGCGGGGGTGGACTTACCAAGAATGGTACTTCTCTAAAAGAAGGCTAATATTCACCGATAGCGAAGTACTGTTTCTCTGTAACAAGAGAAAGGAAAGAGAGACGACATTGACTCGCCTTGTCCATGATATTGATAACCTGGAGCGTGTATTCAGTTCTATGAAGCCTCCATGTCAACTTGAGGCTCAGCTGCTTGACTTTCGCGGTCTTGAGTCACATATAGAGGGATACTGCAAGCGAGATCTATCCCACGATTGTGACAGCCTGAATGCATTTGCTGGAGTCCTGAGACATTACGAGTCAGTTGTAATGCGCGGCAATAGACCAATGTTCCACCTTTGGGGAGTTCCGTTGAAGCTGCTTAGGCATACTGAAGCTGAAGAGGAAGAGGTATTGTTTGATCTGCTATGGTATCATGAAGCTATTGCCCATCGAAGGGAACATCTTCCCAGCTGGTCCTGGTCAGGTTGGGGTGGTTCGGTCAGGTTTGGATACTATGGATTTCAAATCCAGACCTTTACAGTAGAAAGGGCAGCTAACAAGCCGCTGGACAACTTGACAGATGAGAATGAACGAGCGACTTCCGCAGAGCGTGGTGTTCGGATACAAATTCCTCTTGATGAAAGGAATATTGATTTGGATAGTTTCTGCCAGGAACTTCAGTTGAATCTACATGGCGAAATTTACCCGAAGGACTTACATATCACCTCATTCATTATGCCGCTACGATTCCGTAAGATTCGTAGTCACCAGTCATATTCACATCTTGAAGAGGAAGTCGTTGGGCCGCTGCCGCCAATTTTTTTTCCAACATTTCTTGTAAGGCCCGGTATATTTCTTGGTGTCCCGGTGCGTTTCGATAGAGAGTATGATTTCGAATTGCACAAATTGGGCCTGGTACTACCAACCGCTGGCCAGTTCTACAAAGACGCGGATACCTATAACATCATGATTCTCCACCCTGTAGCGGATGGGAAATACGAGCGGGCTGGACTCCTTACTCTAGAATATTATGTTGACACGGGAGATATCGAGGCTTGCAGAATGACCACGGAGCCGGGCTATTTATTGAATGAAAATGATCATCCGATTTCAGAACAGAGCCGGAGGTATATGAGCCAAAAGAATGAGGAATCAAATAAGTTTTTATTTCTTCAAGACGCCGAATGGAAGACTATTTGCTTGGTTTAGATTTAGTTTAGATTTAAGTACATTTAATGAGGCGAATAAAGTACGGAGTAATATGGCTCTATACATTCAAAGGCTTACATAGGATATCAGAAACGATATTCGAGTCGAATATAGAGGAGAAATATGATAGGAGATAGTAATTAATACTGCTATTACTATAATATCGATTAAAAGTATTTATTATATAATTTTTCAATTGGAAAGGACAGTATTATTTAGTAGAAAGAATATGTCGAAATCATTTAACAATTAGAGATTTCTTATATTGGTTTTTATTAATAAGTTTTTGTGAGACAAAGTCATAGAAAAAAGTTTTAATTAAAAAAAGATATAGAAATAAGATTTTATTGAATAAAATTATAAAAATAAAATTCGCTGTATAATAATATTCAAATTGTTAATGACAATAAATTATCTTTTTATATATCTTTAGCTCTCACAATCTTTTTAATTTTAGTATTTATATAATAGTTTAGATAATAACTTTATTCATATATATGTATATATAATCTCGATATAGTATTCTTTCATACTACTTAAAAAGTAAAAGTAAAAGATTAACGATTTAAGTGATTTGAGAAGTATATGAACTTAGGTAAATAATGACTACTGTATCAAGCTTTAGGCGAATGCGAAAGAGACTAGCTCTTTTAGTAGTATCTATATAAAGTCTACTCCTTTCTATACATAGCTAGCTCTGTAGACAGGATACAATAGACATCTAGGACCTACGAAATACGCGGGTGCTACGTCTTTCCGTGTCCTTCTCAAACTAACAAGAGGATCTTACCCCTAAGTCTTAAAAGGCATAGGTATAGTTTTAAGCTAGAAGATTTTACGATATGGAATTGTTGTAGAGGAATGTATTCGGATTTTGGGGGGTTTGAGGAGTTTAGAGGTGATATAATGCTATTTTAATTCAACGAGATCGTGAATTCATAGGATGGGTTCTCGCTAAGTGTGATTTTTCTTTGAAAATTTGTGAAGGTTGTGAAGTTGATTGATTTATAAGCTATAGATGTTTAACTTTTGTCTGATGTCTAACATCTAACATGCCTTACAAGTCGACTTCGACTTCTGTGTTGAGGTGTGATGTAATGCTAGTTATATAGATAAATTATAGAATGGATGCACATGAACAGCTTTTATGTTGAATAGTTTCGAAGAAAATAGACTTGATGGCTAAACATAAATAGATATGAATGAATGACTATTGTATCAAAAGACTTCAGAACGTCAAAACTGAACTATTGATACTGCGAGAGTTCATTAATAGATATAGTGTTCTATTTGATTTATTGAAGTAAAAGGATTAGAAATCTCAAAGCAACAGAATAGGAATAGGAAGTGGAATAACCGAGTAGTTTCGAATAGTTCATTCAAGAAATAGTGGGAAATCAGTATATCTGACTATTTCCCTTAAATGAAAATCTAGAAGAGAAGTATAACCAACAAATTGCAGAATTTTAGATGATAAAGTTGAATCCATCAATGGCTAAAGAACAGTGACTACAGCTAGCAGTAACAAGAAAGAATTGTGAATATGTGAAGTCAGATTACTTGTAAAGGAAACTGAAAGTAAGTTGAATAGCATTTGAGAAATAAACTTCATTTCATCACAGTCTCAATAATTACAATATAGATACAATGGACCACACAAAACGAGGAATAACACCATATAACATTAACACCTACTCAAGCAAACAACGAACACAAGCTCAGAAACACAAAAAACAACAATCAAACATCTCTCCATACCCTCGAGGAAGAAAACCAACATGATAAACATCATGAGAAAATATCAGTATCTGTTCAGTTTAGTTCTCCAATCTGAATTCGAGCAGTGAATAGCCCGGTTTTGCAAAGTGAATTTTTGAAAATTCATCTCCATTTACTAATTTTCAAAGCGGGGTAATTGAGCGAGGGGCTTGGGGATTGATCTTCTTCTTCTTCTCTTCTCTTCTCTTCTCTTCTCGTTTCTTTTCTCTTTTCTCTTTTCTTATTCTTCCTTCCAAAACCTCATCCTCGAACTATTTCCAACTTCCAAACCCTCTCCCAACCCACCAAAAATGGTCCTCTCCAAACTAATCGAAGAAAACCCTCCCGAGTTCCTCTCCGACCTCCTCCGCGGCAACATGGTCTCCATCAGCTACTTCCAAAACCACACTCACATCACCACCCACTGGCCCATCACCATCCTAAAAGCCATCTCCACCCGCTTCAAACCCCTCGACAAACACGCCCCCCATCAATCCCTCAGCATCCTCGAATGTCTCGGCGAATCCCAGACGAAATTCGAAGCTAAGATGTTTCGCTCCACCGTAGGCGATCTCATGGATCATTTTGGAAAGTGGCTGTACACTGGAAATATCGATATTGGGGGATGGATGGTGTGGGATTTGTGGATGTTTGGAGAAGCGTTCCGGGCGCCGAGGTATCAGAATGATGTTATGAGAGCGCTGTGTGCGAAGGCGTCGGAGAATAATCCTTCGTTGATTATTATTAAGTATTTTGGGTTCGATGCGGCGACGTTGAATAGATGTTGGGATCAAACGAATTTTGAGGTCGATAGGGCGCGTGGGTGCTCGGTGGAAAGTGGATCGGTGTATTGGGGAAATAAACAGATGTTGAAGTTTATCATGGATGTGATCGTGTTTGTGGGGTTTAAGGATTCGAATTTTAGGAGACTTATCAATAGTGGTGGACATATTGCTGAGCAAATTCACAAATTGTCAGTTGAAGTTGCTCGTGGCAAGACATCGATGGCGGCTCCGTGGAAGTCTAGAAATCTCAAAAAGTACCTCGTAAATGAGGCTATTCTTGTAGAGGATTCTAGCTCGGATGAAGAGATTGGGAATAGTTCGGAAGAGGATACGAAGGATATCGAGGAAGATACAGAGAGTGCTGCAGATGATGACGATGATGATGATGATAAAGATGCGGAAGATAACGAACAGGATGATGATGATGATGACGAAGACGAAGACGAAGAGATGAAGGATGACGTTAAGGAGGAAGGAGAAGAAGAGTGAGTTGGAGCGCACCAAAGGGATCAAAGATTCGACAAGCTAACGAATCAAAAGAAGGCCCTTTACCGCAGAAGAACTCCTTGCAGAAGGTCATCGCCTTGCACAACCAAGACATGTATAAATATCCTAGAAGACCTAAATTCGCAAAAGCCTTTATCACGGCTTCGATACCACCAAACATTGGTGAAATGGTGTGCTGTGCACTCGACTCAAAACAGTCCTGACAATAAGACTCTCGTGTTATATGAGGAATAACGAAAGGAAACATCCGCAAAATATCAGTATCATTACAATTCCGCTACCAACATTCGCTTGAAAGTGTATGTTGTGGATCTGCATCATTACTTAATATTGCGCTTACGATTCGATGCCAGAAAGAAATTGTTCATATCATTCAAAATACAATCTCCATGCAAAGTTGCAACAATACAACCCGATCCAGAGTTCAAAAAAGTAGTAGGGCAGGTCAACATAGTATGCAAGGTGCTGGATACACCTCATATCATTAAAGAACATCTTTACTCAACCATGCACTATCACAATGGTGATACATCATGAAAATAAATGCATAAAAGAAAGAAACCATAAAAAGAAAATAGTGATATTGCTTGGTAGTTGAATGTGTCAATTGCGACGATGCGTAATATACAACTTAAGAAAACAAAACTATCCCCCCTAGCACCATTGATAGAACTTTCTATCGTCATTGATAATGCTCTCATGAAACTATTCTACTCTACAACCGCCCAATCATCACCGCACATCCTGACCTAAACACCAACTAGATCATCCGCCTAATTCTTGGGCTTTGGTGCAGTATAACTTTGCTCCAACGTCTTTCCATCCGCCATGACGATCTTTTCGCCACCGGCCATAACACACACGCAGCCTATTCCAAAATCAGTCTCGTACCTACAATATTTCAGGCAAAATCAAACTTACGACACCATTCATCAGTTCTGTTTTCCCAAGTATGCATTGTACCTCTCTGGACACAGATATCTCCCTCCTTCAAAACGGTTTCTTTTCCCTCATCAACATGTAGGACAAGTTCACCTTTCATGATAATCATATAGTCACAGGTGATGGTTCGATGAGTGGGGGTAACGTAATGGGGAGGAAAATCGGTTGTGCAAACTACCAAACCAGCTGGAGGTGGACGAGGGATTGATTGTTCGACATTGGGGTTGATAGGAGTAATTAGGGAGGCAGGGAGAGAAGGAAGAGTGTGAATGGTCGTGAAACCCGAGGCCGAAGGACCAAAAGGATGAAATAGAGGAAGTTGAGAATCCGAGGAAATGATAGCAGTGCCGGAGGCGGTGTGCGAGGTTACCACGGCGCGGGGTGGGGGAATAGTAGACATTGTTGCTGCTGAAGTAGATTTTGAGGAGATAGTAGTGCTAGAAAGTTTGAGTTTCAACGACAGCTTTATCGTTGCCATTGGTGAAAGATCCAAGGGCGTTCTTGAATGGTTTGGGCATTTAACGTTTTGATAAGCTTGTGTTGTGTAGAAGATTTGTATCTAGAAATACGAAGATGTGAGGTGATTATGAAAAAGCCAAGGAAATGGTATTCTACTTATACAAAATGTGAAGCTATTCACGAAACACACGAAAACCCTTGCTGTGGGTACTTTCCATATACTCTTTTGCTACCTTGTAGCCATTCTCCGCATTTGCATCAATGATTATTAAGGAGAGTCCATCAGCTGAAAGCCGAAAGAGCGAAGGTAGTCCTAAAGAAGATGTGCCGCAGCTGTACCTGAGATACAACAAGGACGATGAGAGTATTTGGCACCCATCTGAAGCATATTCATGAAGTTCTCATACGCATGTAAGATCTTACGATCAAACCAATTACGTCGAGGCGAATTGATGATTAATAGCGTAAGAGCGAAAGGCCGAGCTGCGTGATCCTTCAAGAAGGATTCGAGCTGCACAACTACGCCTCTTTCGCGATGTGAAGTTCTGGAGTCCCATACCGCATTGAAATGCTGTATCAACCCAGACCTGGAGCGTAGGCTATCGAGAAATACGAAAGATGACTGATACTCGACGACCTATATGAATATACAATCGACATTCCAAGTAGATTGTGTTATTCAACAACACAGAACTCTCACCTTTACATCTCTGCTACCCCTATTTCCTTTACCATGATTCATTCATAGATGTCGAGAGATCTCACTATCGCATGTGAATAGCAGGAAAAAGAGCTCAATCTCAATATACGAATTCTCTTCAATCTTTTTTTTCCACGCATGAAATTGTTGCATTAGTACTTTTCAATTCGATTGTATGATTTTACTTTGACTTTGATTGGATATATTGCTGCATTACTTCTCGATGACATCTCATTTCGCGACGCGCAGTACCTTTACTCGAGGAGTTGAGCACCGAAGTCTACAGGCGCCCTTTGATTCCAAAACTGTAACTACGTACGAGAAGGAATGGTATTATATTGATGGGGGTTATGCGTCGTACCTACATGACGATACGTTCCTGAGCGACATGCAGTTTATGCGACAGAATGGCGCAGAAATGTATAAACTCATGATACTAAAACGGGAATAAAAAGATGACAACGAAGTTCTCGTCTCTTCAATCTTGAACTCTATGGTCAAAGTCTCTTTTATTTTTGGTATTGTTTGAGCGGACTTTTGACATCGAAATCGCATTCTCTTTTTTCATTATTTATTCAGCCGGACTCTTGATACATAGTAAAAGTTCGCTGTCATTTCTGATAACTTGTCGATTAATGGTAGTGATTATACGTTATCACCGGTGCAACGACGTAAACCTGGTGATCTAATCCGTGACCATCTGGTCGCGCAGGATCAGTCAATGATAATGATTGTAGATGGAAATGCAAGTGTGAGAAGTACTGCTCCTAGTGGTTCCCAAGTGCTGGTGTTCTCGAGTGTGCAGTTATCTTGGAGTGACGGGTTATGACGACCCCTTTATTAGTGCCTTATTTGGCCGATGAGATTTAATGGAACTTTCTCTGTTATAATCGGATATGATGATGCTTGACATCCAATTTGATTAGTTAAGTTGCTGAAAATATTTCTTAATAGAGAATTGCGTTCCGTGTCCTCTTCTTCATTTGTTCCTCCCCATCTAGTACAAAAGCTCTTCTCCGTCTTCTCTGACTTTCCTCTTCAACCACATCACCAAACCAAATCTCGTTTTGCTAATGTCCTTGAGGTCACTACACACTCATTCAAGAGATTTCGATGCGTCATACGAAGATGGTTCGTTTGATTGGCTATTCCAGAGTAGTTATTCGCTCGTGGGTTTCATTATTGATTTTCCGTGTCATATCCTACGACTATCGATTCAGGGCATTGTCGCCATTCGCTATATTCAAATAATGACGACCAAAACACCGGATTGTCGCACATTTCCAAATCGTCGTTCAAAGACTGTTATCCTGTCCTTGTCAAAATTTGGTTTATTCGACGTCTGAAACTAATTCCACTCGCGAGTAGATCAATGTATAGACATGACTAGAAGACTGGAAGGTTATAACCGGGTATATTCGGAAAGGGGCTTCATGAACGCAAGTATAATGTACCTATATATTCATGAAATAATCCCATTCCTTACATGTCAACACACTACGTGTTACCATTACCCTCCCGGCCTTCTGGAACCGAGTTTTCTCTTCTACTTAGCTATTTCTAAGTTGTGGGAATCTACGAGCAAGCTAATAACTCAAGTGGTAATATCTATCACGATAACGTTACTCGAAGCCGCGTTGTATGTAATGAGCAAGGTATATCGTTGAATTTGTACTGTATAACGGATGTTGGATATATAGCACAGCAAAAATAGCTCCCAAGACAAGTCGGCCCGCTTGGGTTCACGGCTCCTGAAAGGGCTTGTTATTGCCCTTTATTGTATTATTACAACCTGAACACAGGGCTTGCATCTCTAAAAAGTCAAATTTTCACATCACCACCTACAAAGATGGCTGTTTAGACTTTCGAAGTGCCGCAGTGGATCAGTCAATCTATTTCGACACTATCGAATGATGGAAAAAGACTCAGGAGATTATCGAAATACAGCTACTAGCTCTTTTATCTATCAAGCCTTGCTTCTTCGATTGCATATGATATCTTGATTTGTAGACTTAATTAACGATAGACTACACACCAAACAGGCAAAGAATGTTGTAATAGCTTTATCTGATATTAAGCCGAGAACACCCATATATTCTTAACGATTGGGTTAGCTTTCAACTCTTGGGCTTCTTATTGATTTCGGACGGATATCGTGAAAAGTTTCTCGGCATTTGTATTTTGCAAATAGGAGGTGGTAGCATTGCGGGCCTGACGGCTACATATTTTGACTCCAAGTAGTCGATACCTCCCAGTTTGATTGAAAGATCGTGCGTCAGTGGAGAATTGACGTAGAGCAAGGAAGCGATACAAAGGGGTCAATCGTCATATCGTGAAGAATGATATGATTTTGAAGGTTACGATAAGCGAAGAAGGATTGTTGTTCAGTATCCCGAGGTCTCTCTCTAAATGAAGTTCCGAAACGTATTGCTCCCAGCGTTTTGTGCTCTTCCACAAAGTTAAGATTATCGAATCAAAAATTCCCTTGAATTAATATTCCGGATTTTGATGTTCCCCAATGTGGATTTCTGGGTGACTTTATGTAATGTACCAGTAATGTTGTAATATGGACTTAGTAGCTTTATCCCAGTGAGGTCTGAGAAGCTATGATCCAATATGCGTGACAATCCTGCGCCACATCGACTCAAGCTACAGCCACAATGACATCACATGTAGATCCTCAACGCATCCATGGATGCCAGATGAACGCAAGGTCAAATCCGAGTCCAGACTCAATGTATCGATATCGAAACTGTTTGAGATAGAAATGGATCTATTTCTAGCCAAAAGGGGTCAATTGAAATAACACACTAACCACCCAAAGATACCGCCTCTCTTGTATATCCGCCCTCGGTAACGCGGATTAAGCTAGATTTCCCGGACCGCTCCCTAACCTCTTCCCGTTCCTATTCCGCTGTGCACACAAGACTTGAATTCTTCACCCGTCCATCCTTCAATCTAGGTAAACCCCTTGCAACCCATACCCACAAATCCACGTGTACGTCCATCCGATGAACCTCGATCTCCCACGGTCGGGCAGGCATGGCAATCTCAAGAAATCGATTAGTCAAGCAATGCGATTGTGATGACGTATTGAGATTTCCGATCCCATGTCATGTCATGATATGATGTTGATCCCCTCAACCGATCAATGCTTAAAGCGGGGTAGTTCCCATAGCACCCGTTACCCTGTTTATATCAACATGTGCGTTCCATGACATGACGACTTTGTTTATTTAAACTGTTTTGCTACGAATCGACTGTTCAATCTCTTTTACTTACTATTATCTAGATACCTACTTTCTGCCTTTTCTACTACAATTAAACCTTTAGTCAAGAAAACAAGCTCTGTAAGTAATCCCTTCCTCCTCGACTCTTTCTCAATACATCTTACATACCAAAACTCAAAACACAATGCAATCCTCACCCCGTCTCCGTCTCCTCACCAGAGTTTCCCGTCCCCAAAACAACAAACTAATCCTCTCATCTCTTCCCAGACAAGCAAAACCCCAATACCAATCCTCATACCCAATCCCCAAACACAACTTCACCACCATCCACGCAAAAATGTCTTTCAGCAACGCAGATACCGGTTCCAAGGATGCCGATCCATATAAGGCCAAGAACATCGATACTCCTACTTTGAAAGAAAAGGTTGAGGATTTAAATGACTTTATCGATGCGTGCAAATTCGGTATGATGACTACGAGAGATGGAAAGACGGGCGCGTTGGTGAGCAGATGTATGGCTGTTGCTGCAAAGGTATATATTTTCTTCTTTTTGTCGTATTCCACGCTTTTTAAGATGGGCTGGGGTGTCTATGAAGTATATTGGGGGTGTTACAGCATCTGAGATACCGCGAGTTCAGGTTAGATCAGATAAATCTGCCAGCCTGGACTCATGGACATCTACTTCTCTCTTCTCATGATCGCTAAACTTCAAGAATAAAAACTAACCACTCAAACTCAGGAAAATGGAGGAACCACTCTTCTCTTCCACACCAATACCGAATCTGGAAAGACCGATGATTTAGCTACCGATTCCCACATCAACATTTCATTCTTGAATTCCTCTGGCGAATGGGCTTCTGTTTCCGGTATGTTCTCCCCCCTTCTTTCCCCCTTCTCCCCCTTCTCCCCCCAAAACCCCACCCCCAGCTAACACTCCATCCTACTCCAGGTATGTCCACCATCGAAACCGACCGCGAAACCGTCAAGAAATACTACTCCCCCGCCCTCAAAGCCTGGCTCGGCGATCTCGGCGACGGAACCCACGATGGCGGTCCCAACGATCCCCGTATCGGGGTTATCAAGGTCGAGGCCAAGACAGCTACATATGCCGTTGTGCGCAAGAGTATGCTGGCGCGCGGGGCTGAGATGGCACAGGGAGTGATTACGGGTAAGGCGGCGAGTGTGAATAAGTTGAGGGAAATTAGTGAGAGTGAGATTCAGACTTGGAGGACTAGCCAGGGAATGGTGCAGTAGATGTGGTTGGAGATGTGTTATCTGTTCCTATGGTTAGGGCTGGGATGTATTATGAATAATGCTATCAATTAATTAATCAATTGCAATGCGAGGAAGCCTTTTAAATTGTATTGTTTTAAGATTATGTCAATGATACCTTCTGACACGCTTATGATATCCAATGCAGTGTACAAAACATTGCATCCCCAACACTCAGTGCCCAGAACCAACTAACTTTGTTACACCTTTGCTACGCCAATCCAATGTATACGAAACGCCTCCATGTCAAATATCCATAATTCTCCCGAGTCTCCATACGCCTGCGTCTCAAAGTTACAGCCCTGATAATACATTTAGAACTACCAAGTGTTAGCAAAAGAATCTCACACTCGCACATTCGCCAACCCAACTTACCAATTTCAAAGGAGTCCTATTCAAACCTCTAGTAAAGTTACACATCGCTCTCTGTTTCGTCGGTCTCTGCTGTAATCTTCTAAACGCCTCTTGGATGTGTCTCGTCTCGACCGGAGTTCTTCCCTCACTTGGCGGATCAAACAATCCTTGCACCTTTCTCTTCTTGCCGGTTTGTTCACCGCCGCTCTTCTCCTTGCCCAAGTCTTCTTGCTCTTTAATTTTCAAAGCTTCTTCCGTCAATGTCTGCACGATTTCAAAAGTCAGAAAACCGAGAATATCGACAATATCATCGTTGGGTTTTGAATCCGTGACGACGCCAAAGCCGGCCCATTCCTTGAACCGCTTTCCTTTACGGAAGGTAAACGAAGCTTGACGATATTCAGACCAGGTAACATATTCTTCCTTCGTCATGGCCTTGGTGCGTTCGTCGGCTTTCTTGAGACGTTGTAAAGTTGCGTAATTCATTTCTTCCTCGTCTTCATCTTCTTCGTCTTCGCGCTCTGGTACCTCTTGGCTGTACAACGAGGGGACTTCCCATGGGAGACCGACTTTGGCTTTCTTGTTCTTCTTCGTGGTATCTGGGATGGGGGCATTGGCTCCGACGGGTTCGTCACCGGCTCCGATGTCTGCGTCGCCGCCCTTTTCGTCTGAGTCTTTGACGTTTTTACGGACGTCTTTCCAGGAAAGAAAGGTGCGAAGACGAGAGACCTTGGCTTGATCGTGGCGAATCAGGAAGATTAAATCGTCGGTTGATATTGAACGACTACCGCGGCGGGATGCTTGTTCAGTACATTGACGAAGCTGGAATAGTTAGGGTCATGTGATTCAATTGTTGGGAAAATAGGAAGAATTCCAGAGAGGAGAGGAGTAAGCCTGAAAAGTTCTACTAACCATCTCAATAACTTGTTGTCGAACGATCTCCTCTATCATACCAGTAGTCTCAGATGATGCTTCTGCCGTTTCCCCAGAAACATACATCATCTGTGCAAACCAACGAAGAACCTTGACGTTAGCCAATTTCGAAGCCATATTATTGATAATTTGCTTTCGTCAAAGCTATTTACAAGTCTCGAGATATCCCAACTATCAAAAGAGCCTACGGGCGAAAACCTCGCAAAATCATATTCACTCTGACTGAGAAGCGAACACCTCACCGCCAGCAATCACTTGATATAGCCTCATAATCCCCTCTCCCCAACCCAAACCCAAACCCATCGCCAATTCCCAAGGCATTGCCAATAAAGAAATCGAACATGACGGTTCAAACAAAGGAGCAACTGACCTGCTGGATCTCCGTCTTGTACTTTGCCGTTTTGTCCGTCATTTTGGCAACCGTTCACTACTACCCAAATGCAATCCCTCTCTTTCTGACACCTCTATTCACACAGAGGGAATTTACCAAATATCCAATGGTCTGTCAAAACAATGATAGAATTGATTCAGACCTCAATTTGATATTTCTGTACGTAAACTAGATAGTGAATGATGAAAGACTAAAATCAGCTCGGAGTGATTGGAATGTTGGAGTTACTGATCATGACTAATAAATTATAGGCGGTCAATCATATGTTGACTGGGCAGAAAGTATTCACGTGATACACAGTATCCTTACATCGGACAGTACCCCCCACTCCGGGGTAGTGGGGCTGCACAGTAAAAGTTAAAAATTATTTATTGGAGGGACTTTCCTCCCCTCCATGCACACAATTTTTCTTCATATGGTAATACCATTTCAGACAACAGATTCCCAAGATCATCGTTGTCTATCATACACTCAAAAAATATGGACACATATATTGCTATACAGAAGTCAATGGTCACATAAAACAATGATATCAATGTCAGATCGAGTGGCATATGATCTAAAGATACAGCTAGGAAGGAGGGAATAATGGCTCATATAAATGAAAAAAAAGTAACTTGGCTAGCAACTTGCAATGCATATCCATCCTCCCAATAACACCAATGCTTATAAACTCAAAAATCATCGAAAACTCCGTTGCCGAAAACTCCTGTCCTTCCCGTTCATCATATAGAAACAGAATATGAAGCTAATATGCCACCAGATTAACTCCCAATAAAACTCAATATCAACTCGGGCTTCAAAATCCCTGCGGTCCCTTTCCATCCAGGCCTCCAGTTCTGAAGAACTCTGTTACCACGCCAATCGCATAGCATCCACTGCCTACAATGGCACCGCCTAATAATACTCTCTTTGCCTTGCCAGGCTTCTTACTCTTAATTTCCGAGTGATCTTTCCAGGAAGATTTGCCGCTGAATACCGGTTCCTCGCGTCGAACGTCAATGTTTGATTTGAACGGTGGTTCTGCTGATTCTGGCAAATCATGATTCACGAAACCTGTAGGACTGGCAAATCGCGCCGTTGCCACCTGCATACCATCTATCGGATTTGTTGTATTATTCTTCAGATCAGCCTGCGAGGACGAGCGTCTTGCTGGTCGTACTTTGCGGAATACAAGAACATCACCACTTCCAGATACAATTTCATAACCCTCAGCCTGCAATGGTTGGAAGTGTGGAAAGAACTTCGCGGGGTTAGACAATCGAAGGAGAACCTCTGCAGGAGTCAAAGCTGATGCTGTATCAGTCACAATAGATGTTGTTTCAGCGATATTGATAGACTGCATTGTCGAGTCATAAGCCAAAACCTTATAAGTGGTTGGCTCAGGGCCCCATGCAGGCTTTTCACCGGGTGAACTTGCAGCTGGTGCATCATTTGTAGGTACTTGACGATGTTTGGAGCCAATCTTCCCATAAGCATCTTCATAGATTCCTCGGATTTCGCGAACTAGGTCTTTGTCTTTGCCAGATTGCTTTCTGGGCTTTCCATAAGATGAAACATAAACCGATAAATCTCCTTCGCCTTGGTTTGCGCATTCCTCTTTATATGACGTCTCTAAACCTTGAGGTACCTTCGAGTACGGATCAGTTTCTGCTATTGCTTTGGGCAAATTGGGCTGAAGAGATTTCGACTTTGTCGCAGATCGATCCAAGGATGTTTGAAGTCTTGGTGTGTTTGGGTTTCGAGAAAATGCTTCTTTCGAGCCAAGACCTTCAATATATTCCTTCTCGGCCTTCTGAACAGATTGCTTGACCTCCGTTGAATAGGAAAGCTCTAGTCCCTTGGGTGACTTGTCATAACCCCAAGCATCTTTAGACACTGTTGGCACCAATTCTCCTGTGCCATCTTTTTGTTGCGACCAAGATTTCTCAAATTCTTCTGGAAAATCCCGAACAAAGTTTCCTGTGACTTTTCGTTTCTCGACTTGTCCTGCATTCTTATGATCTTTTTGATTAAGGGTCTCTAAACCTTCCACGGCCTTGAGGGCAGAGGGGCCGGGAGTTTCCTGTGTCTTGTTTTCTGTCTGTCCTTTCAATTTCTGCTCCAAGGCAATGTCTTGAGCATATTTAATTACATTTTGATGCGCTTCCTCAAAAGCCTTTTCCAGTTGCTCTCTCTTAGTGGACTTCTCTTGAAGTGTTTCTTTCTTTGTACTCTTGATTATACCCGAAGCAGCGCGTATGTCACTTGCTCGAAGCAGGTCAAGATCTTCTCTCGTATCTGGCTCCGGGTATTTGCGCGAGAATTTTGAGGGTAGGGAAGTTTTTGTTTCTACATATTTTTCGGAGCCAGGATGTTGGGTGATTTTTGCTTGCTTCTGATCATACTCCTTCAATGCTTCGCGTGTCTGATCAGGGCTCTCAGGAAACTTTCCGTCGGGCTCATTATAACGAAACGATCCATAAGAAGTATCCGCATCATAATCTTTCAAACTCTCTCGAACTGAATCGGGCTTTTCGGGGAGTTTTCCATCCGGCTCATTATATCGAAAGGATCCATATGATTTGCCTGTATCATATTCCTTCAACGATTCTTGTACTGCATCTGGCTCCTCGGGAGATTTACCATCAGGCTCATTATATCGAAACGATCCGTAAGAGGTATCGGCATCATAATCTTTCAAACCCTCTCGAACCGCATCTGGCTGTTCGGGCAACTTTCCATCGGGCTCGTTGTGACGGAAGAACCCATAAGTTGTGTGTGAATCGTAATCTTTCAATGATTCCTGGACACAATCTGGTTGCTCTGGCAGCTTTCCATCAGGCTCTCTATATCGAAAAGCGTTATAAGATGTACAGCTGTCATAATCTTTGAGTCCTTCTTGTACGGGATCGGCCTTTTGTGACGGTTGTCCGTCCGGTTCGTTATGAAAAAATGCCTTGTATCCTTTACTCTCGTATTCTTTCAGAGATTCTCGTACAGAGTCAGGTTGCTCTGGGAATTTCCCATCAGGTTCATTGTACATGAATGGTTTGTTATAGGCATCAATATCAGCTTGAGTGGCATCATCTGGCGGGACTAAATTTTGAAATCGCTGACGATATCCCTTAAATTTCGTTACTGGAATGTGTACAGCTTTTTCATTCTTGAACACCTTTCGATTTGTGATCGGGTCTATCTGGTAGTTCTCATTTTCCAGCTCGAATTCATTGTCCAACTGGTTTTTGGACTTCAGGTTTCTCCAGTATGCTTCGTCAGCTTGCGATAATCGGATTGATTCCACACCACCATCCGTACCTTCAACATCGGCTTTGAATGTGTACTTGGAGCGGGCAGGAGAAAAATAAATTGTTTTGCTGCGCATGAAGTTATGCATGGCACGTTTGTAATCCGGAACACGCTCATCACGCTTAAAGCTTTTGGCCTCGACATATTTCTGTTTTGAGAGTCGATGACGGCGATTGAGCTCTTTTTCAACTCCATCAAGGTATGAAGACCAATAACCCATTCGAAATGCTCGTGTTTGATTGTGCGGACCTTGGTTTGACAATAACCCTTGTGCATTGTGCCAACTACGATTCGATACTCGGAGTAGATTGGTAGAGGTAGAAATAGATCCATATCGAATCAGAGGAGATGTGGTCTGCGAGACCGAGGTGGTGAGCTGGGACAGCATCTCGAAGAATTATTCCGATCGTATCATGCTCGGGGACCTAAATAAGGTTTAACAAAATGACATACGTTCAGGGTCAATAATACTCACGAATAAAGTTTCATTCAACTCAGCCTTTGAAGTTGGCTATTTGGCAGGAATTGCGTTGAAGTAGGGGAATTCAAATGAAATGTTATAATCAAGAGATGATGCTATTTAAGTTAGAATGGCGAACTTGTCGGAATGGTCCTTTTGACGTAACAATAAGAGCTCTCAGAACATTAGAATAACTTTAAACAAGGAAATGGCCTCTCAATGTTAAAAGCCCTTTGGTATATGGAGATGAAGTGTCAAAAGGAAAAACACAAAGGATAATGCAGTGAGTGATATTTAAACCAAGAGCTGAAAACTTACCAGATTGGTCGCTTTATTCCGGTGCTTGTTGGATGGATGAATGGATGAACGGAAGGCAGGAAACTTTGATTTCCTTTCTTTTGCTTGTGATTGATTAATCGACCGACCGATTGATTGATTGATTGATTGCCCAATATGAACTGATTAGATACCGAATCAAATCAAATCAACAAATAAAGTAAGCGCGTATGATATGATGTGGATGATTGCAAATAGCCAACGGAAAAACTCTCTCAAGTACTAGGTATGTCTGTCTCTTCTTCGTCCAGCTCGCAGTGAGGGTATAGGTATGGTATATGGGTATCGATACCGGCAAGTAGGTAAGTAAAGTAAAAGAGTAAGAGTAAGAAGAAGAAGAAGAAGAAGAGGAAGAAGTCAGGAAAGCATCAGTTGAAATGATAACCTAACCCAACCTAACCTAACCTCACCTACCTACCTACCTTAATCAATGCGATACCACACGATCAAGAAGAGGATAGCTCAAAGGCTGAGTATGGCTCGGTATAGGTAGCATGCGGGTATGTCCACCACCTTTCATGCACTTTGGTTGCGGGGTAATACGATTAGGAGATCCACTATGGATGCTAACCCCGAGGTTTCCCGAGCTGGATGGAGGTGTGTCAGGGTGTTCCAGGGTGCTTCCCTTGTGTCTGGCTGGTGCACGGCCTTTCCCGCGCGGGTCAAAGTTGGTTGGCTCTACGTAACCGAAAAAAGCAGCGCAAATTGAGTACCCTTTCACAGATCTTTTTTAATAGATTATAAATTCATTTTAAATTAAATATTAAAATTTGAAAAGATTGAACAAAAATTTGAGTCTTTTTTGTATTAATAACAAGTGTTTTTTTATTTGATATTATATCGAAAAGAGATTTTAGTTGTTGAAATTCTTTTGAATGGTAATTAATTTCCGCCGCTTTTTTCGGTTATGTAGAGGTTGGTTGGCTGTTGGCTGTTGGTGGGGTTGTGTGCCTGAGGCATGATTGGAGATCACATGCGCAAGCTGGCTGGTAGGAAGATTGATATTACAGTTTGTGTCTTATTATTATTACTGTTGAACATTCAATGAGGTACTTGAATTGAATATTTACAAAGGAAATATGAATATAAATATGTCATCTTGATATCGATTTATTCTAATTACAAATTGAAGTGAAGAGTAGATCTCCTCGTCATTAATCTAATCTCTCTTTTCCAAACCCAATCATTCCAAATTCCTCTTCTCTCATCTAGAAGCTAATCAGCTACCATAACATACTTTCACCCATCTCTTTAATCTATATTTTCCTCTTCCCATATCTAATAACCTAACGACCATAGTTAAAAGCACAACGACACAATGGACACGAGCTCTGGTTACTGCTCGCGAACCATTTAAACAGACATTGTCCATGGAATGTGTTCTTACAAGTTCCGCACTTCTTATCCGGCGTTTTCTTGTCGCTCGATATGATGCTGTAACAGATAGCACATTCGGTGTGTCCTTTAAGACTACCTTCAACATTACGACGGAAAGTAGTCAATCCATCGATCAGACTACCATTTGAGAACGTGATGGCACCCTGAACGATGAGTAGCCAACTTCTCCATTTCTTTTCTGGTACGGCAACACGATTGATACCCTCGACTTTAACGTTGTAGAAAGGATAGTTGGATGGAAATCGAATGGCAATTTGTATGCTAGTATCATCGATTTCGTAGCTGGCAAAGATGGAACGTGCGCCCTTCGATGTTTTAATTTCGAGCTCTTTCTCGCCTCCTTCTTTAGCCTCCTTCGAAACTGCCCATTCATCGATTTCATCAAGTTTGTCAGAAATCAGAAGTGGAGTGAAGTATTTCTCTGTCCATGTCTCAACTGCTTGACGGGTCTGTTTGGATTGACAGTCAGAAAACCAGGCCTTTGCAAGATCGCCAGTGTGTCTAAGACATAAATGATATAGATGAATGAGAAGCCATTGAAAGTTTCGCTCGTTTGTTTCACTGTCTGCTAGTGATGTGTCGTATGTGCGAATAGATGATTCATCAAAATGTGCCTTCTCAAGGTTGAGGGGCGTACCATTCGAATGGCCTAACACATCGAACAAAAATGTCAAGAATGATCCAAGGCAGTTTTCTGACTGGAGGTGATTGCAATAGTCTTTGCGCACTTTCCAAGACGCTGTGCTAAACGCATCATAAACTAAATGCCACGAAAGTAAATAGCTACGAATCGAAGGAGGAAATTCTGCGAGCTCTTCGTCATCAAAGTTTCGAATAGATGGTGCGTCTAAGAGAAGAGATAGCAATTCTTCTGGCAATTGCGCATCTTTCTTTTCAAGAAGGGCATTGACCGAGATTTCCTCTTGCTCTGCAGGAATCGCCCGATGAAGAACACTAAATGCTGCAGATTGGACCATCCTATTCTCTGAAGCTACCAACGGGTAGAACTCGGAGATGTCGTTAATATGACTTGAAGGTATATTAATTACTAGCCGCGACAAAATATTTTCAACAAACTCGACTGGTTGCGTTGATTTAGATCTGGATAACTTGGTGAGTTTGATCAGACAATGAGATGCGGTCTCTCCATATTGAGCTCGAGCATCCTCAAGGTCATCATTAGCATCTTGCAAGCTTTGTAAAATGGAGAACAGTTTCAAAGACATCCCCATCATGGGGAGCTTTTGGTCCTGGTGATCTTCATTTTCCATCGATTGCCAAATTTTGATGCAGAACTCGAGGGTTTTCTCCCAGTATGATCCGTAGACTGATTTGATCACCGGGAGCAACTTTTGTAAAGCAAGACAAGACTCAGAAGAGAGCTGATAATTCGTGTCTGAAATTTCCGGGGTCCATGAAAGAATTTGCTTGACCGCAAACACTAATCGATTTTGTGCCACAGGAAGATCATCATTATCGTACACGGATAATGTTGCATTCAGGAGAACAAGTTGACCGAGAGTTTTTTCAGATTGAGCATCGGCACTAGCAACATCACTAATGATCCGGTTGCAAAGGTTGCTGACAAGCTGGCTAGTACTGAGGGTCTCGTGAAGCCCTGTCAAGATGGCAACAGCCCCAAGAATGTTCGATGTAGATGATTTGAGAATTTCGAGGCTGGAGATCCAATCTTCGCCTCCTACTTGCCATCCATGTTGTTCAACAAGTTTGGGTAGTAGATGGCTCAACACACGAGCTGAGTAGAACGACGTAGATGTATCGCCGCAGGAAGCATTTGTCAGCTTTGAAATAAGGACGTGAACAACACCCGAAAATTCAAGCGGTGACCCCGACTCAAAACCATCTTGCCAAGCTTTCGAGTGTAGTACGATGAATGACCATGAATCTTGATATATGCGGTCCACAAAATCGCGCACGCCAGCAATAGCTTCTTCCGACGATAACACGAAAAGCTTGTTATTCTCTAGTAGATCGAGCTGGTCATTGGCAAGTTCCACAGTCAAGCACATGAGATATATAATCTCGACAAGAGCATCCTTTGATAAGCGATCAGGATGGTCTCGAATTAAATGTGCCGAATACATTGCCATTCTGAGAGCTACGGAATAGCCATCTAGATCTCTGCCAGGGCGACTACTATTGTTACCACTTTGTGCGCGCGCCAAGAATACAGCTCCCGCAAATGGTCTCATCACTCCCAAAGTAGCATTTGGTGCTTGATCCAATAGAGGGGCTAAAGCTTCAGACCATTTAGTTACACTTGGAAAGAGTTCGGGATGATGCGAACTGTCGTCCAAGGTGCTGATAACCGCTTCTGCTTGTTGGACAAGTGTATCGATACTAAAAATTAACATCAGTCATTGCTCCCCCGGACAGTTATGAATTGCGGTTAAGGATTTCAAGGATTATACTCACGTCAGTGATTGAGGACTTGCGGTTTCCAGATTTTCTTTGAGTATATGAACTACAGAAGAAGTAGTAACACCACTTTCGTTGTCGACTACCGATCGTAAATTCATAGCCCGTTTACCAAGCTCAGAATCTGAGAGTTCTGTCAATGCCAAAAGTTTCGTGATTAAATCTACATGCGCTTCTCCGTCTCGAATAGCTTCAGGTCGTCTTTTGGATAGTAATTCGAGTGCCTGAAAGACAAGATTTACATTGGGGTTAGAAGCATTTAGTACAGAGATTAGGCTTTGAAGCAATAACTTTTCTGTTGATTTGGAGAACCCATTAAAAATTACTGCCGCTTCGAATAGTGCCCATTCCTCAGTATTGCCTTCGACCACATCACGAGAAGTCTCAAGGAGAATATCTTGGAGAGCTTGGTCATCACGAACCAAATCCGAAATTTCATTCGAAGATATCAGAGCTGTGATCGTTTTCTGTCGCTGCAGATTCTTGGGGATCGATAGCAGAGCATCAATAGCCGTCTGCCAGATACTCTTATAAGAGTCTTGCTGCCCAGGAACTAAACTGAATTGGTCTAAAGCCGAAGTTAAGTATGAAGATGATGGCGACAAAAGAAATTTAGGAAGATGGGTTTCCATGAACGATTTGACGGCTTCCAAGACTGAGGGGGAGGCTTCCATTAGCTGCGGAGAGTATCTCAGCGCCGATTCTAGTACTGCCCCAGCCGAGTAGGGTTTCCCATTCCTGTTGATAATTACTTGGAGAGTACTATCTATGATATTGCTCGAAGGTTGAAGGAGTGGGTTTTGATCGGCTGTAAGATCCTTTAATTTGAAGACGTCAGACAGAAGTGAAAACCACCGGTGGCCTTCAGCCATGACAGCATCTTGAGAAGATGAATACTCTTTAGATTGCTCTGGCATTGATGTTTGAATTCTTGTGATAAAATTTTGGGCGAGCTTTTGCCATTCTTCGGCGAGAGAATTTTGTAAGTTGGAGTTCTTCGCTATGCTAGAGATACAAGCAGATATAGTTGAAGATGGTGTATTGTTTCTGATGAGCCATTCGGAAGTTTCTGGGGATGGATGTAAATAATGCTCAAACATGGGATATATAGATTTCTGGACAATCTCCGCTTGCTGAGAAGTTGACAGGCTTACGATACAGATGTTGGATGTTTCTCCGTAAGCGAGCCATGCTTCTGAAGAGTTGGCCCTACTCTCCTCCCTCTGGTTGATACTCTTGCGAAATACCGCCAAGAACTCCAGGATAGAATTGGGGTTTTGAGGCAGAACATCTATTGGTAAAATTGCCACAAGAGCTCGCAATGTTTGCCAATAAGCGGAGGAAGAGCCTTGTGAGCCTTTTTGAACAAAAGAGATCAGGTCGCCTGTAGCAGTAGATCGTTTAGCCTTATACGCAGAAGTCCATACTTGAGGAAACTTTTTGGTTAGTTGGTGCAAAGTCTCCAATAGTTGCAAAGCAGATGTTAATTGAGGAGATCTCAATGCCTCAGATATGAATGCACGACTGATAGTCTCAAGGTTGTTCTCGACCAGTTGAGTTTGCTTCTCTAGGCAAAGCACGAGTAATTTATCAGTACTTTTTCTTGCGGAAGCGTCTTCGCATGATGCCAGCGTCCATAGTTTTTTGTTGCCGAAAATAACCTTTTCGTACCTGTCTTGATGCTTAAGCATATCATCATCACCTAGCTTGGCTAGCAGATTGGCGAGAAGGGATACACTGGCGCTATTCACACGGAAGTACTTTTCGTTTGCTTCTTCTGTTGGGACAGATCTCTCGTCACTCAAAGTATTAGGAGTCTCATTCAAAGCTTCTTCGGCGTAGTCGAGGATCTCATTCTGGCAACGCTTCCAAAACATATTCATTTTAGCATCCGTATCGAGGAAAGATGTTAGACCATCCATCGCTGATCGTGCCACTGCTCGGTCTCTATCATATGTTCCTGCCAGCCAGCTTCCTACGACTTTGGGTATATATCTTTCCATTCTTTTCCGGGCTGATTTTAGAAGCTCATACTGTATGCTGTGAGACAGCTCGCGAACACGACGTGAATTATCTATGGAAATTCTAGGATAGGCATCAACCTGTATGTTGTGTTAGCAGAAGCACTCTAAGATTCCCTCGGCGCATCCTACCCAAGCTTCTAAAATTGCTTCTTCGGTGCCTCCTTGCTCGTTTGGTTGATTCTGAACAAACGTTCGCAAATCCTCTAGAGCTTTCGACTTCGTTGTAGCATCTTTCTTCGAAAGATTCTTAAATGATAGAATGACATTTGCATCACTAATGGAAGAGAGGTTTGATGGTTCTGTAAGGTATGATAATCTGGTAGCTTTTGTGGTAAAGCCAAACCCGAAGCCGGCGCCAGTGGCAGTTGAAGCACGAGTGCTAGAAGCCTGCGATTTGAATTGTCGTTTGCCCATGTTCTGCAGACGTTTCGATGAAGAAAAGGGTACAAGATAGTTTGTATGAAGTATAAGGATTATCTGCTCTTGAGGTATGGAGGGGAGAGATAGGTTTACAAGTATCTAGGTAGTGGAGAAATTTCAAAGGCCGAACAATCAATGACGGAATTGAAGTGGTGGTGGGGTGGTGGTTCAGATAGAAATTGACCAATAATCTGATTGCATTGTGCTTAGTAACATTCTAGCCAATGTCTAGTATCAGCTGATCTAGCCGTAATGGGATTAATGCAGCCCTAGAGCTTTGAGAGCCACAAGATAAATAATTCTGCCAAATTTGAACTTCTCAGGCGGTCAGACAACGGTTTTCTGCTGCAAGAGAATCGACGTGATGTATGATGCCAATCAGTCGTGACCAAGACTCGAAAAGAAAGCTTCAGTATATTTGTGACTTTACTGATTCAACCTCGGAAGGATAAGATTCTTATCGCAGTTCAACAAGAAGTTTGAGAGTACTCTAAACTCATCCGTGAAGTTCATATCATTCATGAATAAATACCTCAGCACTTTTGCAGATATCTTACCTCTCCAACGGTTGCATTATACATTAACGAAAATGGCACCTCTGTTCAGATCCCACCAGGAAAAAAAATATGAGATCATACTGCTTAGGGAGATGAGGTAGTATCGAGATATGAAAACAGGTTGATGGCTGAGAATTCTGACAATGCCGGCGTGGTGTTGAGTTGCGGGAAGGGCTGTTTCGTTGAGTGTCTTGGCTATACCGATACTTCAAATTATATGTAATTGGTTGCTCTTATGAAGAAAAGAGTATGTATTACACGTTGTTCGGCTGAAAGTATTATGCACTGTCCGACTGATTCGGAAGTAGTGGTTACATGTTAGTGGCATGATATATGTATGAATGGGTTTCAATAACTTTGAGATTTAAGAAATGGCATGATGGAGAGGAAGATATATTTTATTCCAAGACAAAGGAAGAACATCAGTCTATGATTCTTTCCCACGATGGATTTCGCAAACATGATATTCAATGGGATGAGGCCACATGACATCAATCATTCGTTGGAAGGTATGAAGGGGCTTGGTGTGGTATTGTAGTTGCCAATCATGGCCGTGAAGCATTTGTTAATGAGCGTGGTTGCTTAAGGGATGCAACTCAGTAGTAATAAGTGAGCCTTCTAATTCGAGCGAGTGCAATCAAAGGTTCCATACATACTTTCCCATTTTCTGTTCACAAGTTTTCCTTTGACAATTTACTTCTCATCATAACAAACATTCAACTCATTCATTATAAGCTTGGAATAGCATACTTATCACTCACTCGCCAACTTCATTCCTTAATGATGCTTCTAGAATAGGTAAGACTTGCTTGTCCAGTATGACTTCTCAGCTTGTTAATTGCAATGTTCCAGCAGAAGCAAGACTGTTTCCATTTATATTCCACGATATCTATTATCTAAAAGCAACAGGAATTCAGCATTGCAACAGTCAAATCTCGTGCTTCAGTACCTTGTGTACATCGTGTTTCGCCCCAAAATCAAAGCCATGGCTCGCTTCACTAGTTTCTTCAAGTCATCAAATAGATCACAAGAGGAACCTAGAAGACCACTTTCATCAGCTGCACCTTCTGTTGAGGGCTATGTTGATCACTTTACCAAGGATGGCGATATAGCTTCCATAAGGATTACAGATGGTACAGACAGGAAAGATAGCGCTAACAGATCCGTAAATAACGCGAAAAGCAATGTCGCATTTAAAACCACGGTTTCAATTGAAAATGAAGGGAATGGCCGCAAACTCAGCACCCCTAAGACTCGAGAGCATAGCCAGATCCCAGAGTGTACTGCTATGTCGAAATGCGAAGTGTGTTGTAAAGCCAAACTGGAGATCGACCCTGCGACACAAAATCCTGATCTAAGACTCAAGAATTGCGTTAAATTCTTAACAATGCGTGCTAATGGCGAGCATGTAGCGGGTTACAGGTTACCAGACGGTGGCACACATAAGTTGCCCGACAAGCTTCGATCCTTGCGGACATTCTTGAGCAAACACTCCACTATAATAGAGAAGTCCAGTGCAAACAAGATGCATGTTTCTCAACGATTGAGGCAATATTTAGACATGAACTCCACTGCGGATTATTTATTCGAAATTCGAACTGTAAACCAAGATGTTTCTAAAAACGAAGCAAGGTGGAATTCATATTTCTGGGTTCCTAGAAATTGGGATCCAATGAGCCCAGAACCACGTTCTAAGAGACTCAATGAAAAAAATAAACTCTTTTGGAGGTACTATGGTGGACCTTTTCAAGTCTATCCGGGACATTTTTTTTGTCCAATGAATGAGATCAGAAATTGCCACAAGAGATGCACGACATTGGAGGGCACAGCAGCTATAAAAGACTTCCGTCTCCTTGAGGATGTCAATCCGATTAATGTTCGCATGACATGCGGATGTGCTAGAGGAGGAAAGAATAGCCTTGACCAGAGCTGGAATGTACGATTATATAAACGAATGTCGGAGACAGAAAAGAGGGAGGAGAATGAGAAGAGGTATATGGAAAGGTTCACTCCTGCCTCGTCTAATGATGATCGAAAGTCGGGGGCGAAGGTGAAGGAGAATTCCGAATCGAGTTCCTGGGCGAATCCTGCTCTTCAATTTGATTCCTTGACAGATGACACCAGACTAGTCATTGAAGAAGCTGAAAGAGCCGCAAAGAATGGTAAGGATAAGGAAGATCATATCAAGTCACTGGAAGGCGAGGATGGCCTACCAAGAATTGAGGAGGAGACCAACACAAAAAGCCAGAATGAACCGGTGAATAATGACAAACTTTCAACTCTTGTTGATGAAAATATTGCATTCACCGATTATGGAGCTTCTCAGGACACCGGTTTAGAAGGACCAGAAAGAATCCGAGAACTGCACCCTTCCGTAACTCAAGATGAGAGTATTTCACCAACTGGCTCGGGGACTGGCCGAGATAGCGATGCAGAGGAAGGAAATCGAATTCAAGAATCCCGATCTTCAGTAGCTCAAGATGAGAGAATTTTAGCTGCGGGCTCTGAGTCTCCTCAAAACACCAATTCAGAATGGGCAAACGAATTTCTGAACTGGCAATTCCCATTAAACCAAGATGGGAGTTATTCAGCCGCCCAACCTGACTCTTCAGAATAACAATTAGATGGATGGAATAGATTTGAACAATAGCGAGCAACTTTGAATGTATTTCAGCCTTAGTCAGAATATAACACAGCGCGTTTTATGATTCATTGATTCTGCAATTGTGAGTTATTAATTCTTGTGGTAAGGTAGCGTACCTTTTGAAAGTGTGATTTGATTTGATGTACATGTATCCCATAAAGTGACTGCGAGATGATGTTGAGAAGATTCTTGGTAGATATCTAGGTGAGGTTTTGTGAAATAGGATTCAATATCACAATATTGCGTGGAGGTATTCAAGTAACGAAATCTTCATGGGCATAAGTTAAAGTCAGGTTCATAGATATTTCTCATAGCGTTTACTGTTACAGCGACTCTCGGAGGGGGAAACAACCCTGTTCTCTTTTCATTCTTGAAGAGAAATCATATTTGCACAGGAAATGCGTGACCTGACTCATTTGTTGACTTTTGTGCTCTCAAGTATGTGATGAACTTTATACCTGTTTTAGTAGATAACTTATTAGGTAAGATGGACGTCTGTAGTGTATTTAATTACCAAATCTCGGCTGGAATTTCACAAAATAGTTGGGACTTGGGGGATCGACAATGTCGTGAGATAATTGACACCTGGTGTTTGGGGACTTGGAGGCACTAGTGCCTTGAATGTCTACGGCATCCTTTCGTGATGATATGGATACCTTAGCAGATATAATCCTCATGTAGACAAAAGCATTTTGATTTAGAGAATTATGTGATTGTCGAATTCGTATAAGGATACGTCGTGGTGATTGAGGATAGAAGTTCTATGTGATTCTGAAGTGTCAAATGGTGTCCATCTTGATTTCGAAATTCACTTTAGTGCCTCCAAGATCTATGTGTTATCTTCCTTGTGGCATGTTAGTTTCAATTCTAGTGTGTAAATTGGCCTTTTAATGACGATGCTGGGAAAAGAGCAGCCGACGTAGTTTATCATTATATAATCATCAACCTCACATGTATCTCTTGAAGACACGTACAATTCCCACAGACCGGAAATCCAACCTTCAAACATGATGGAAGTCAAGGATAGTGATCATATAGCACACTTAACTGCACTTCGCAAGGTATTCTTGCATCATTTCGTGGAAGTAAGTATATTATATCTCGGCACGCTCATCCCTAACTAACACGGTCTGCCAGGCTCGCACCATTCCTCCACCAGGAATCGAGAATGTCGAAGAAATGAGAAAGAAACTACCTCTCGTGCGCTATTACGGAGATCTACCAGCAATGGACGACCCTTGGTTTCCCTTTCTATTCGCAGCTTCCAATAGAAGAATCGTCCATAAACCACCACATGCTCTTGAACGTCTCGGGCCGCTCATGCGCAGAACTCAGTATTTGGTTCGAGTAGAGATTCTCTACAGGGTGATATTCCTAGTCGAGTCCATTGACGACGATGGCCGCCTCATTTTTGTAGAGATTGACCGACACCTTTTAAGTCGCCCGTCGGAACCTGCAGTGTTGCCGGAATGGCTTCAGGGTATGTTTGTTCCCAATGTTGGGAAGGGGTTGGAGTGGGCGTGTGAGGATTGGGGAAATAAGTCACTTTTTAGATGTAGCTCTTGGTCAAAGGCAGGAACATCTTGGTGGTAGTCATATTGGTCTGTTTGGAGGAAAGTAATCTGAGGGAATGCAATTTCAAAATGGGTAATCTGGGGAATAATGGTAATTTGGGTAAACGACTTCTGATTGGCGATGCGAAATCTAAGGATTATACTACTATGAAGCTCTAGGCATTGGGAATGCAATTTTAGATCTACTGAAAACTCCCTCGGGTTCTTTTTTGTTTCTATTCCATTCTTGAATCTTTCTCTTGCTTGAGTTTCAGTTCTTGGGTCTTCCCTATTCTCTGACTAAGACGAATCCAAACTCTCCGTCTTCTAAATAATGAATACTGAAAATTCAGGGGAAACAAGGAACTAGATTCGTTCCTGAGGCTGCAAAGATGTGACTGGTAGTCAACTTCAGCTAACAATGAGTTTTCAGGAGCACTCATATCCAATAAAGAAGGCACGAGGTAGCTATTGAGGGATTTATTGACGGAACAGAAGCTCCAATTTAGAAGGTATGACTAACACAAGGAAGGGACGAGATGAACTAAAGCCTATCAAGAGCTGCCTGTTGTTATACTCGGACCATCCTCAATATTCACTTGAAGCTTTTTTACCCGAGCTTTGACTACCACTTCTTATATTCACCTTCTCACAATGAGTCTCTCTTTGTTTCGAGTTGAATGTTACGTTTCGTCATCATTTTGGCCTGTCTATCCCCCAGTTTCAAAGTACCAGTAAGGCTAGTACAATGAACATGGCACTTGGACGTTTTTTTTCTTGAAGTGCTTTTCATTTCACTGATTTTGCATGATCAGAGCTTCCAGAGCATGAGTTTGATGCTGTCTTTCTTATCATCTGGGTGCTCAAAATTGGCTTGGTTTCTTTCCATAGACTTGTGCCTTCATTGTTTAGGCTCACAGGAAGTGATATCTGTCTTGGATGGTTCAAAATTACTGGAGATGGTCATATCAAGAGCAAAGATGGAGGATTCTGAATGACACTTTGGGATCTGAGTGCAGCGCACGGCAACCTCCGAATCTTTTGTACCTTGAAATTGTGATGACATAGAATATTCACTCTTGATGGCTAGGCAATACCCTCTAGACACCTTGATAAAGTTTGTTCTAAGCGATCGCCCACACATTGTACCTCCTTCAGCGATTTCGCTTCTTCTCCTTTTTCCTAACAACTACAATCATTACACAACAATCATTAATAATAATTAGAACCAGCAACACAATGGCACCCAGAGCTAAAGCAACTAATTCCTCCTCAAAGAGTAAGGGACTCATTGAAAAAGAGGATATCTTTCCCACGATCGTTCATTCAAACCCCGTCACACCTCTTCAGAAATCTCTTTTAAACTCTCCTTTCAATCCTAACCTCGAAGAAACTCGCGACCCTCAAGATGCACATGGCCTGGAAGAAGCAATTGACCCACAGTTGATGCAAAGCAAGGCGATCAATCCTTCTGTCGCCCCAGATTTCAATCATCCATTTACTTTGGAGGTTGATCCTACATTGGCTCTGGATAAAAATTTCCCAGGTTCAGTCCCAGGTTCATATTCAATTAATTTAACAAACCAATATGATTCAAGTAGCGACTTTGCTGAGTATATCCCCAATCCAAACGAATGCAATTCATTCCCTCTTGACAACGGTGGAGCCCCTTCATCTTTCCGACTCGGCAATACAAACGACAAGGTCGAATCTCAAAAGTCATCTACAAAGGTGCCATTTGTTGATCCTATGCATCCGCATGCGCACCTGAAGCATGTGGCTGTGTTTTGCTGCCAGTCTCCAACTTGTGTGCAAGAGTGCAAAGTTGATTATAAGTATGCGACTCGCCAATTTACATTGCATTACTCTCGACAGTCAATTGAAGAGCCATTGTACAGTGGTCGCAAGCGTGTTGTGCCACAGACAGACAATCCAGATCATCGCATTCCGATGCTTCTCCTTTCCGGAGCTCGGGTCTACAGAGTCGAAAAGTTGGGAGAGAATCCGGTCGTGCGACTTTTTGTTGGTGACATCATCAACCGCAAGAAGAAGTATTGGGAGGTTTTGCCTGGGGGCGCAGTTGAGCAATTGGGATGGATTCAGGAGTTAAGAGACACGGCAGCTCCTACCGACCGATGTAGTGCTTGGAAGTGCACCACCCATGGAGACATCTGGAAGGTCAGTATCTTAGATCATCTTTTCGACAATGGTGCCGAAAATACTGGTACACTAGGAACCGACTATGACAGTGGCTATGCGAGCTCTTCTGGTCATATGGGAAGTTCGTCAAGAAAAGGATCATCTACATATGGCGACAACAATGCCACTTTCAATACGAGCCCTATCACTCCCATCAAATACTCGGTCGGCAAAAATAATGCTATTCTCAAGATGAGTCCGTTGACACCCACCAATTACTCGGTCGGCGAAAACAATGTTGCTCTCAAGATGAGTCCGGTGACACCAACCAATTACTCATTCGACGGTTATAACATGCTATTTAACGCGAGTTCAACCACAACTACCAGCCACTCAAGTGGTGATCAACATGGCCCAGCAACTACCATTAGCAATGTCAAGCCTCGCCGCAACCGAAACCGCAATCGCAGCCACGGCGCCAACAAGATGAGCTCAAGTGGCAACAACAACTCTCTTGAACAAATCGAGGAAGATCTTGAGGACTTCGAGATCAGCGGCGACGTTACCGAACTTCTTGAGTTCAATGACTACGCCAGTACCAGTGGTTGCGACTTCATGCAACCGCAAGCTCAAATGTGGGATGATGATCTCCTTAATGAGGTCAATACTTTTATCGCCGACGGAATCAACTTTGGCGAATCTGTTGAACATACAATTGAACACGACTTCGATGCTATTTGAATTGAACAACATTACTACGAGATGGATACGAGGAACCCTATCATATGGCTGGACCATTACTGTAACTGACATAGACACAAGACTTGATATCATCAGACGTTTATTTTTCGACCCTTTTTCTTTTCTTTCCTTTGTTTTTCTCTGCGCTTTCGGGATCATGGGGAATGGATCACTTATGGCTAAGGAGACGGTTACCGGGTGCACTATTTTTCGATTTTCTTTTTTCTGCAGATATTCAGTTCCATGGAGATATTTCGTTCATGAGTTAATAGTTAATGGTACGCGGTAGTTGATAAATGGTTAATGGATAATGGTAATGAACGATGGGCAGTGGGTAGTGGATATCATTCTTCCAGTAGTGAGATACTGAGTAATTAACGTTGTGGATACATGGCATAGCATGGAGGTATGGAAGAGGCGCTCATTATAGAGTTGTATCTTAAGAGCTGGGCTGGTCCTGGAATTAATGCGATGGTGTTAATTTTTGATTGCGGTGTTGATTGTGCGTGTGTATATGTGTGAATGTGAATTTTTTTGTGCAAGTTGTAGTGATTGTGACCTGAATATGGTGGATAGTTGGGGATGTCATATGGATATGGCTTGTATACGGCGAGATCGTAGAATTGTGGAAGTATTGAAACGGGAAGTTCATCTACGAGTTTCATCCTTTGCAAGTGTTGCTATTGAAAAGAACGACGTTATGATATGAGAAGACTGCAATAGGTATAGATATTCGACTCAGGAAACTGCCAGTAAAAAAGTCTAGACCTGAAAGAGAATCTTAACATCTCCAACCTTAGTAACTGTTTCTCTGGATCATGGAGATGCCAGGCTGAGACATATAGAGTACCTACCCTACTCCTCAGTAGTAAGAACGTAAAGCCAGCTCGAGATAAAAGTATCAAAACTTACGGTATATCGCGGTATTTTCCGGTCGTCTGAGTAGGTATGTATACCTATGTAAGACAAAAAAAATGAAAATCTACAATACTAAAAGACATCAGGAGATCGCAGCATGTCACTCCTCCTTCCTCAACGCTTGGTAATCTTGTGATGTTGGAATTAATGATTGAGAAATGGGCTGGCCCATCGATGAATAGATATTGTCTGATCATGAGGAGGAGTTTGGAGGCGTTGGAACTGGGGTGGGTTGGGGTTCGGCTTACTTTGTGGATTTGTTGCATTGTGTAGGATATGTGTTTCCGCGTGATTGGGATTGGGACAAAGATTTTTATCGGAGTTGGGGATTGAGGATTTGAGAGGGTGAGATGGTGAAGGGTGAGATGTGTAAGTGGGAAGTTTGAATTTGAATTTGAATTTGAATTGAGAGATTAAAAGAGGTGGTGAGATATATTAATTGACAAATCTTCCTTTTATAAATAACATATTAAAGAAAAACAAAACAAAAACAAAACACCAATACTGATACATCCATATACAAACCCCTAACATCCCAACACAAAACCTCGATTCCAGCATCCAAACGTCCCAAATACCGCAGAAGATAATATCGATATCGAGACTTCTAGCCCATCTATTCTGATCATTTGCTCTCCCTTGCATCGAATTCCACCATCGTACATTCTCCAGCTCATCTGATTCTGATTTCCCAATTTTGGGGAAAGGGAAAAAAGGAAAGAAGGAAGGGTAAGAAAGGTATGAAATGAAACACCTTTCGGTATTCTCCTTCCACATTCCTGTTCTGGTGAATAAACGATTGTGCATGGTGGTGGAGAAAAATGGTTGATGGGGAGGAATGTACAATACCTACGTTTCTTTTACCCAGGGAAGAAGCGGTCGAAGAGGGGTTTTCTATCTATCTATATAGAGAGAGATCCCTCGGGCTACTTGGGGGGAAAGCACATCATTGATTTTATATTCATCTTGAAAATTCAATATCGAAAAGACTTGATAAGAAAATGCATTTCCTCACACAAACCCTCATCGCCGCAGCATTCCTCGCAGGCGCTGTTTTCTCGGTTCCTCAGGGTATTCCTCCCAATGGAAGTGGTGGTGGTGATCAATCTACCGTACGTATTGTTATTTCTCTTTGCTCTTTCCTTCCTCCTTCCGTTCCCCTCTTCTCCTCCCACTCTTCTTCCCCCTTCACCTCCCTCACCCTCACCCTCACCCCTCCCCCATCCAAACAAACAAAACTAACCAACCAAAAAGTGCCACTGGAACTGCTGCGAATACGACCCCTCCACCTCCGGCACTCTCTGCAGAAACAACACCGCGCCGTATCCATACGGCGTCGATTGTTATCCAGCGTTGGACGCGGCGAATATGACATGTTGTCATCAGACGGATTGTCAGGATCAGACTTACTTTACGACGCCGATTGTGGTTATTTAGGGAGGGGTTGTGGGATTTGGTGGTGGGTAGGGGATTGGTTATTAAGGCGGGGCTTTGGGGAGGAAAGGTGGATTGGTTAGAGGATGGTGGGTTTGGGATGGAGTTGAGGGGAAGAAGGGGGTGGGTATTTTGGTTTTGAGAGGGGTGTTGTCGTGGTAATTTCGTTGGGATCTTTGGATTATGAGGGAATTGGGTGAGTGATCTCGATTTGAGCATGCGAAGTGGTGCTTCTTGCTTTGCTTTGGGATTGAACGATGTCACTTTCGTTTTAGATAGTCGGTACACCTAGGTAACAATGGAAAAAACTTGTGGGGTACTAGTCTGTCAATCTCTGGGGCATTAAAATGATGAATCTGGTCAGTATGAAACATGAGATGTGAGACATGAGTTGAAGTGTGAGAGAAGCAATAAGCATTGAATGACTTGACCCGGTTCGGAAGCTATCTTATCTGTGAAAGTAAACTCGCAACTAAGCTGCTTATATTTTAATTAGATTATTCAAAGAAAAAAAGGATGTTTCAATGCCTAGATAATAAGGGTTAGCGAATTGCTTTGGCTTTTCTTCAGATGCAATCTACCTCATCCGCAGTTAATCTGTTACCACTTTCATAAACAACCAGACTCGCGACCAAATCCCTCCCATCTTCCTCTGCATCTGGTAATAATTCTTCCCATGGTTTGCTCGGGAAAATATTCCACCATTGAAACGGATTCGTTTTCCACTTCATTGCTTCCGGCCATGTCTGCGCAGTTGGTGTCCCTAAGGTTTTGAACATACTCAAAATCAGACCCAATTGATTCCCATCCTCATCACCGCGTCGGCTTTCGAGGAGTGGTGTAGGAGGCGAGCGGAGACATTCGGCGAGAAGAACACCCGTAGACCAGAGATCAAGAGATGTGGTGTAAGCCGTGTTAGAAAAGAGAGTCTCGGGGCAGCGATAGCATGTGGTACCAACCTCAAGACATTTTTGGTCAGAGGGCTCAGCAGATGAGGAGAGGGTTGGGTGCCATGCGGTGCCAAAGTCGGCGATGACAACGGGAGTTTGACCATCGATATCCTGAGGTAAAAGAATATTGGATGGTGATATATCACGGTGAATGATTTGTTCTGCATGAAGGTATGCGAGCCCGGATAACACTTGTTTGAAGATCTTTTTAGTTGTGCGTGTGCTGAGACCATTGCTACTTTTTGATAGTAGATCTAGTAATGTGTGTGGCATGTGTGGCAGTATCAGAACTAATCTTGATTCTTGATCATACATTGTTGTGATTAGTGATATTATTGAAGGGTGTGAGAGCTTTTTGAGGATAGCAATTTCACGAGTGGGAGAATGTGGCTCCATGTTATGAGTTTCTGTTATCACTTTTAAGGCATAGGAAGCCTCTACATTGTCGCACCTGTAAACTTGAGAGACAGCACCACTCGATATATGGTGACAGTTTTTATAAGATCCTATGGTGATACCGGGGCTTTCGGGTGTTGGCAATGTTGTCGATAAAGAGGCCTCGCCATTTTGCTTAGTAGGATTACATAAATCATCGTAGGCAGCCTATGTATTGTATCAGTAAGATAGTTACAATAGATTGAGCGTTCACTGAACTCAAGAGTCAAGGGATTTTCTCCTGACGAACTACAAAGAACAGAAAATGGAAGGAGAGAGTATCACGAGAAAAGGGGAAAGACATGTTGCTCACGTGACAGAGAATGCTTATATTTGAAACTATAAACTCACTCTTGATGACGAAGAATTATAAGCCTCTGCTTCTATTTCAAATGCAGTTTTCTGCGTGTTGCCGCCAAGACCACCAACTGAGAGATATTTCTTTCTATAATTAGGAAGATTAGCCGTGTCAATTTATGTATTGAAAGGGAGTGGTGCCACTTTACAGCTTTGAGATATTATCATATCGTTCGGAAGCTTTCAAATCATGCTTCCAATCTGGTGTAGAGCTCATGTTGTTGATTTGAGATGATGTCAACAACGATAAACTAGATATAGAGAGTGTTCTCTTGTAGACTGCGTTCCTCTGCAAAGATGCTTTATCCGAGGTGATTAGTTCGTATTGGATAGGAGATGATCTCTCTCGTTTTCGGATAAAGTTCGGATGTGTCTTATTGGAAATATAAGAAGCCTTGTCTCTGATTGAGCATGTAGTGCATTGCAGTATTGTGAGGGAGGAGATCAGATGCAGTGGATATGTGAATACGTGAATATTATTAGATATTAGATGATGGATCTTATGGATACTAGGTACCTACTACGTAGAGCATCCAGAATGTCCAGACTATTCCCCTGTTGTCTCTCTCAAATATCTGGTCAACCGACAGGTGTGATAAGCATTATTTGCTTGACTTGTTATTTCAGACTGGTTTTGTCTGCTTTACCTTTACCTCCTTCAACGATATAAGGTTTCATAATCATAATTTCTTACACGAAGAAGAGGTGACACATCACGTGTTCTTTCCATCTAGCATGCAGCAAGTATTTGCATTGCTCATTTTGATTTTGCATGATTCTCCAACAAGGATTGTGTATGGATGGAAGCAACCGACAAAGCATCGACCAATCAATTCCAGAAAGAGAAAGAGCCGCTTTCACTCCTTCGAGCTTGGAATCGTGGAGAACTTCTAATTCCGAGAGCGC